ATTGAAGACTCGGTGTCTTCCTGGTGCAGTATTTCTGCTGGTGTACCACAGGGTGGCGTTTTATCTCCTTTACTCTTCGCCGTTTTTATAAACTCCATCTCTAATCAGTTAAGTTCGTTCTATCACCTTTATGCAGACGATTTACAAATATATACACAAGCCCCGCTTACCTTGTTATCGGGGGCATTCAACAAAATCAATGCTGACCTATCGCGCATCGGCGAATGGAGTCATAACTATGGACTCAAGGTCAATCCTAAAAAGACTCAGGTATGTGTGATTGGCAGTCCTGGGCTGGTCTCAAGAATTAACTGGACACAAATGCCGCAAATTGAATTCGAAGGCACTACACTTGAGATCAGTACTAGTGTTAAAAATTTAGGAATTAGCATAGATAATAATTTAACTTGGGGCCCACATTTACAAGAAGTTAGTCGTAAGATATTTGCTTCTGCCGGGTCCATGCGAAGACTACGTAACTTCCTACCGACTGCAACTAGGGCTGCACTTGCGCAAGCACTTCTCCTCCCAATTCTCGACTATGCCGATGTCAGCTATCTGAATCTCACTGAAGCCCAACTTGATAAGCTTGAGCGACTTCAAAATTTCTGTATACGATTTGTATTTGGACTAAGAAAATATGATCACGTTTCTGAATTCCGTCTAAAGCTCAAGTGGCTTCCGATTCGCTCTCGCCGGAATACTCATATACTCATTTTTCTCTATAACATCTTGTTCAATCCCAAGGCCCCCTTTTACCTCAAAGAACGGTTCAAGTTCCTTCATGACACACATGAAAAGTGTCTGAGGTCATCCGAAGATTTGAGGCTTGAGATGCCTCTGCATTCTACAAAATTTTACGACCAGTCTTTTACTGTTCAAGCTGTACGCTTGTGGAATGCACTGCCGATAAGCATAAGGCGAGCGAAAACCATAAACAGCTTTAAGAAAATGGTCCAAGAATTTATGGTATCGTAATTAAGACAGCTACTTCCTCGTGTTAAGGTATGATTTGAATGCTTTTCTTTTTTTTTTTTTTTTTGTTATATGTGATATTGTATAAGTACTTATGTATGTATAAGTATTTGTTTTTATGAATGTAGATATGTATGTGTATTTGTATAAATATATGTGTGTATGTATGTGTATATTTCTTATATTATATATATATGTAGTTATTATCTCTTTTATATTCGTTAGTAATTAACCTGAAAACTCAATTCACCATCAACTACTACTATCTCTCCTGAACATTTTGATCCATCCTATGGTTGCCTGGAAGAGATTGCTCATAGCAATAAGGCCGCCCTTTGTACATTGTATATAACACTTTCATGTAACTATCATGCTTCTTGTAAAATGGTGTACAAATAAAGAGTTCTATCTATCTATCTATCTATCTATCTATCTATTGATATTACGGGTCATCCGCCGTACGGCCCTGACTTGGCCCCCAACGACTTCTATTTATTCCCAACCGTGAAGAATAAATTACGTGGGCAAAGTTTTTTCGAGCCGTGAAGAGGCTGTTGATGCGTTCAAAATGCACGTTTTGGAGATACCACAATCAGAATGGAAAAAGTGCTACGAAAATTGGTTCCCCAAAAGTGCAACGATCATCACGGTGAATATTTTGAAAGCCATAAATGCTCTATTTTTGTTTCACTTTGTTATTCCGGATACATAAAAAGCAGCCCTCCTAATACAAATACCTAGATAATCTCCGGTAAACGCATAAATAGTTTTAAACTTATTGAACGATAATTGAAGTTATTAAAACCCAACCTCTTTAAAACAGTCATAAATATGGTGTTTACTTGTACTTTTTATTCAAATGTTTTAAATGTTTAAGGACAATCGATTTTACTTATAATTCTCATGAGCATGTCTTTGTGTCAGACGTGATTTTATCTTCTTCTAATGAATACAAAAAACGTGAAGGTTGTTATTGTATTAGGTTCGAACAATAGGCATACATAGTTTGAATACTAAACAAGTCGGTACATAATAAAGGTAACATGCGGCACACTGAGCTTCCACTACGTTCCTTTCGCCGCAGTTGCGATAACACTAAATGAATAATTGTAAAAACCCTCTAGTATTTATTCAATTTTATTCTATGAACGTTGAGCCCGTTTTACGTGGTATTTTGTTTTTTTATTAATTTTGTTGTTTTTTTTTCTTGTAATAAATTTAGAGATTATTACGCTTGAATGTGCAAATCAAAACACTGTTTAGGGTTCGCTTCTTTCATCTGTTTTTGTCCATCTGTTCATCCAATATCCACTGAATCAACTAGACTGATGAGTTAAAATTTTATACAATAATGAATGTTTATGAAATGAACAAAATACATATTAAAACATAAATAAAAATACATCGTTAAGATCTGGATCGTAACGTAAATCATATGTGCACAAAGAAAAACTATATACAAAAATTATCTCTCATTCATAATATTATAAGTAATATAACAATGAGTAACAAAGTCAGCAAGTAGGTAATGTAATGAGTTTAGATTTAAATGCCTTTGCCGAGGTCAGAACCATCCAAACCCAATTCACTATAGAGGATGTCTTTCACTAATTTAGTATATCTGCACACTGCACAGTAATCACATCTGGATGTGCAACCTAAATAAATGAACTCCCTAGATTGTGCTTTCAAACTGACACTTACACTTTATCATGCGGAACCCTCTCCACGTGGGTTCAACTCTCGCTTGACCCCATATTCCTAATTGACACTCGAACAAAAAACGTGTCAAAATTCCATCGATAATCCGTTTGACAGAACGGTTACAGGGGAATACAGATGGCAGCTCGCCTCGAGGCGTTTCAAATAATTTTTTTGAAAGGAATTTAGATTTTTCGATTTTTTTATCTTCTATCGCTTTATTATAATTATTTATTTATTTAACATTTTAAAAAGCCATTTACAATTATTGATAATCAATAATTGTAAATGGCTTTGAAAACCACCGAGGTTTGAAAAAATGCAACAGATGCTACGTCAAGCGAAGTTGATAAAAACTAACACTATACCAACACTATACTAAACGCGTACAGTACAAAATACATGCGTCATTATGCAAAATAATTATCTAAGCGTACGGGCGCAGAATGGTGAAGTGAACTCCTAGTTAGGCAAGGAGAGGAGGAGTGATTACTTTTTCTTTTTTTTTCGTCAATTATGAACCTAAGTGCAAAATAAAACCATTTCTGAATATTTATCGACATATTAATGTCTTGTATAAAGAACAGTGCTTGTATCCGTGTCATTTAAATTATAGAGGAGAACAGAATTGAAAACTTTTGTTTTGGACATATGTTCTGATACTGATATGAGTCCCATAACGTTTTCCCTAACATATTATACAGTGCTGTAGCATTGTATAGTATGTTTTAGCACTATTAAACTTATTTGGCATGAGTCGAAAAGATTATATGCTTTTAAAATATAACGCCTCGTAAGAACTGTTTTTTTCTTTCAAGCACAAATGTTTTACCAGTTATAACTCTTCAGTAGGCAGGCATTCAAAATTCATACGACAAATTAACTACTTAGCGTTAACATTATAACAGTTCGTAGGCTAAGTGACCACAATAAATTAATGATGTGGATACGCGTGCTTGGCAGCGACAACGTTTAATAGAGTAATAAGTGGCTTATCCTCATTGGCAATATGTTTGCTACGAGTCGAGCGTATTTGTTCACAATGAAGTTCGTATTATATGAATATACATTCATTCAAATACTGAAATTGACTTATACGCTCGATATTGTTTTCCTGTTGAACTTGCTCTATATTGGACGTTGTTTCTTCTGTTTAGATATTTCAAAACATTGAAAGTTCTTTTGCAAAGTACTTTGGGCTCACGCGCAATGTATTTTTGTAGTTAATACAACCCGCTTTGAACAAGTAACAATTTCATAAAAGTACTATTTCCTATCTAAGGACTTGTATATTGTGCAAAAGTTTCCAAGAAGGTACCATTTATAAATCGGGTTACTAAAACTAACAGACCTAACTAAACCGTGATACTTTACAATCATTAATTTTTTTAACGATAAATGATAAATGATATTTATTTCTGTAAGTAAATCTTTTCAGATATTTTTACAAGTCGGACTTTATAGCTAGAAGGAGCCGACATTTCCTAAGACTCACTCTGGGAAGAAACGCCGAAACAAACCACAGAGATGTCTTTTTTTTTAAGTCCGTAAACTAAGTTAAATAAAACTGTGCGAGTACAGTATAGGGTCTGGATAGGCCTTTTGAGGAAAGGACCATAGTTTTGAGTCAGCCTGTCCATACTGACGGCATACAGGCTCCAGCCATCGTGTAGCCTAACCGATATTGGTCAAGATCAACGACCCGAAGCATGACACAACCGCCAGCAGGACATTTGGGTAGGCCGTGTAAACACTCAAAACCACCAGAAAGATAATAAAATATGAATTAACATTAAAAGCCTACACTATACTCACATTTACATAATTACACAAAAAATAAAAAAATACTATACAATTCAAATTCAACGAAAAATAAAATACGAAAAAAAAAAAAATGTCCATCACTTTCAAACTTGTCAAACAAAGATGTTTAGTGTGTGTGTGTGTGAGTGAGCAGCATCAATCCCAAGCAAATTTGTCGTCTAAATAATCTGTAATACTGTAGTAAGCCTTTTCACAAAGTTTTAGCTTTACTAAAGACTTTAATTTGTTAATACTTAATTCATGGATACTTTTACGACTTACTCGGCCTGGTTAATAAATATGCCAATGTAAAATTACATCTTTCTAGTATTTATATTCTCTAAACCAAATTGCCCATGAATGGACAGCCAGATACATGGACATGGCATACTTCGAATCAAAATTCCATTTTTAGATATATTCTGCATTAGCGTATTTTTATGAAATGGTGATTTATGAGGTAGACTAATTAATTAACGCAACAAAACCGTTGTTTTAACTATGTGTATTTATTTTTACAGGCGAGTCCCGAAAATAGCAGAAACGCTTCTCCAAGATATCACGATGTATCAATGGATGATGTGAGTACTAACAATTCTGTAAAATATATACTAAAGAATAGAGAGAATATACATATGTTGTTAATTTGGTTTCAGGCATCGGACGCAGGCTCTCTCTTCCGGGTCGGGACTGGTGCACCTGCAGCCACAGGCGGAGGTGCTAAAAACGAGCTGGTAGCCCGGGGCGGCAGTGGTGGGGCACTAGCCTTATCACGGGCGCCAGTTGGCGGCAGTGCAAGTCCTGCGCCCGCTCCACTGCCGCAGCCAGCACCTTCACCTGCGCCTGCAGCTCTACCACCACCAGCTCTTCCTCCGCCGCCATTCAGAGCTGACACGCCGCATCGGCCCAATGGCGCTCACATTCCTGCTCTCGATGGCCATGCGGCCACACAAATTCCCGCACGACCGGTTGGTGCCGCCGGACCCGACACGCCTGAGCGACCCGCCAGCAACAGCAAATTGCAGCCTGGTGCGAGAGCATCTGCAGATAGCCCGACGCCGGCTCCTCCTGCACCGCAAGCACCTTCACCACTTTTTCCTTCGCATACCGCCTATCAATCCCAATCCCAATCACATTCTGCCGCAGCGCTGCCCGATTACAGACACACAAACCATGAAACGCGAACAGAACCGTCAGAACAGCCACCGGCGCCTTTGGACCTCCACACGCATCACGGCGCTCATCACACGCCTCGGCCGCATGTAGCACCGAGTGCTGCCCAAATGCCACACACTAGTCTACCGAGCCGGATCTCACACACCCCGGCACATCCCATGATGGCCGGTCATGACGTTCGAAATCCTTCTCTCGCAGCTCAGACGCACCCCTCCGTTCCTACCTCGTTTTCAAACCGCGTTAGTGGTGTTCCGCAAAGCGTACCGCCACCTACGACGCCGTCTACAATACCGAGCTGTCTTCCGAGTCAAACTCTTACCGGACGGTCGCTCTCACCGGCCGCACCGACCTCTCGCCCTTATCCTACCCCATCAATTGGGTCTAGTCATGTAAACTCAAGTTTAAGTTCCAGTATTCACGGTCACTCAATAGCTTACCAGAGTCAGTCGAGTTTACAGAAACATTCCGTTCAACCCGTGTATGCGAATCGACCTTCGCATCTTACACCGTTCAGTATATCCAATCACATCAGTCACATTCAATCTTCTACGGCGAATCAACCCCCAGCATCACACATCAGCCATCCTCCATCCAGCCATTCCGTTACAAGCCTCGCAAGTCATCTCCCTATTCACACACCCGGTTCCCTAGCAACATCCGTACCGAATCATATTGTTCCATCATTGTCTTTAGTTTCAACTGCGAATACCACGATGTCTTCTTATAATACACCAAGCCTTAAATCACACCCTGGTCTCAGTACGCCTCTGCAACCTACATCCGTTATGCCACCTGTGTCTTCACATCTGTCGAGCAATCACGTTGAGCAGTTACCGACGTCAAGTTGTCCCCCAACAAGTATTACGCCAGTGATAACGAGTAGCAGTAGCACACATTCTCTGGCACCCCCTGTTATAGACTCAAGGCAAATACCAATATCATCCTGTGAGTTGCCTTCGCGAACAGAAAGTCCATCCGTCACATCTACTCTGGCTGCCAATGGTTACCCTCCACCGGCTGTTTATTCGGGATCGTCGTACCCCCCACTATACGCGCCATATGCTACTACCTTACAACACAGTCCTTATCTCCCCCCTGCCGCAGCGTCCCCCAGGAATTCTGCTGATACAGTGAGTATTAAACTGAAATTATATAAAACAAAACAATTCCGGTAAAAAATAAAACATCTAACAAACTCAATCTCAATCTACTTAAAATGTTATAATGACCGGGTCTTCATATTACAGAGAACAAGTCTATCTGCCTCTCCACTTGTGGCACCTAAGACTCCAAAGGGCGTGCGCCCTCACACCCCGGGATCTACTGGAGCTGCAGGTGCATCTCTATCCTACTCACCCCGTGGGCATAGCCCTAATCGGGAGCGGGAAAGTTTCAGGTGCGTACACTTCTCAAATTCGTCACGTACACATTTTTGATCAAAAACCAAAAATTATGTCTAAAAACTTTTTATTGCTTAACCATTACGGTACAATGTATTGTATTCCTATATAAAACAAACATTAGCACTACTAAACACACATTCTTAAACTACGCTACGACTGATTTCAGCAGTAATATTAGTAGCTTGTCGCGAAGTACACCTGCGTCGGGAGCCACCACAGGGCCGTCACTGGCGCCATCGCTCGTGGCACCGCTGGCTGGCCCACTACCTACGCCCTTGGCCACTGCATTGCCGGTAAAACCCCTTTATCCTTTTAAACATTTTGAATGACTATCTCGAATTTTGACTGACTGCTACTGAAGACTTAGATTTAATGTAACCTCACATGTTATATAATCCTAACATATTACATAACCTTACATGTTTAGGGGAAGGGTCCTTATTAATATGTTTTCATAATGATATTCTGTAATCTGGCTAAGTAAGTTAACAAAAATCCGGTGGACAATGAAGGAAAAAATATGTTATCATCCATAGGGTCCACTGCCATCATCGTTGAGTACACCTCTAGTTGGGCCTCTGGGGGCACCGCTGGGCACAGCCCTGACGGCGCCGCTGGCTGCACCGACTCCTACGCCCGCTGCCCCCACTGCCCCTCACCTTACACACTCGCTCGCACCGGTGCCAACAGTGCCCAGCATCAGTTCCAGCGCCAAACCGCCTGCGCACTGGGGGGTGACGTGAGTATAAATTAGTAGTATTAATAGTCCATAGATGTTGTTTAACAATGAATCAGAACATCAATTAGTGGATCGATGTAGAAGTAAGCCAAAGATACTATAAAGCTCAAGAAAAACCTGCTTACAAACTTTTCAATTTTAGGACAGTGTAGACTGGCTTTTCGCGTTTTTACTAAGAGAGTATGAGAACCCACGGGAATAAAAACGTTCTGATTTATACTTTAGATATGGCAAATAAAGATTCTGTACTTAATAGAATTATTTATAACTAAATTGAAAGAGGATTATATTTTCAGTAATTTAATAGCGTGTTTCGTTTCTCTTTCAGCAGGCCAACTGGCGCAGATCGCACGTCAAGTTTTGCTCCCGCTCCTCCGCTATTCGGGGCACCACTTGCGCCGCCTAATCCAAATCCTTTCTCTGCGGAGTCACTATTTCAAACAAGTATGTTTTTATATACCTAAGTTATAACGTAAAAACACTGCCATAAAATGAATTTATTTTTTATCACTTGACCAGCTTAACATTAGCTGATTCATTATGATACAATTATTATCGCTTTCTGAGAAAATTTAAATTAAAGTATCAATATATTAAACATTATAACAGATTAGAATACAAATGCTTGTTCCATTTACATACAATAAGATGTGTAGATATAGCAATTTTTTTACTTTAGTTTATTAAAGATCATGAAACTTAGAACAAAACTAATAATAGGGAATATGCATGTCTTTATTTTATTTTTTAAGCGTTTCTACTAGTTATTTCATTACTAAAAATAAATTAAACATACCTGAAATAAAAACAATTGCGTTAAAAAAAATATAAAAAAATCCCTATCGTTTTTCGTCGACATCAAGGCGGCCACTTTGGCGCGCTTATTCTGTGACGTCAGAATACAAGATTTCGATGTCAACAACGAAGTGTTTGGTTCACAAGGTTACTAAAAGTTAAAAAGTGAGTGATAAAATCAACTTATTACCATAGACAAGCACAGAACACCTTATTAGAAATATTGTCCTACATGCCGAAATAACATCAAAACTGCAACTGGAAATGTTAAAATACTTTGTCAGGGACAAAGTATATTTTCTTATGCTGAAAGATGCAGGTATAACTAATAAGTGGTGTAAGGCCATGAAAAGCGATACTGTATCATGTTTGAGCTGTTTAAATTTTATGAAAATCATTTTACTTATCATTATCATTTATCATTTTACCTGCACATAATTTTTCATGCAAACTTCGACGAAAACCATAACCTAGTTTACGAAAAGTTCGTTAAAATATTCTCAATATCAAATACATAGGTGTATTTGGTGTTATATGTATCCATAAGAGTATTGCTTATGAATAAAAACATGAGCAAGAGGAAAGTTCCAAACTATTTTTATCTTTCAAAAAGAATAAAGAAAATTATATGTTTATCACATAATATCAATTATATGTTTAACACATCTATTTTAGGCAGATTATCTGAATGTGCGTTGAAAAAACCGTTTTCAGTCATTGTGTTAAGTTTTCCTTCACAGGAATTTAATACTTTAACACATAACTTAAGTATGAAACAACAGTGAAACAATACCAAATAATAATCACCAGAAACCATACAAACGATTTGTAGACAGAAGACATCCAGTGTATATTGACGTCGCCTTTTGTTCCACCAATATAGCGTTGCGTTTTGGAAATTTGCGAGCGAATTTAAAAAAGCTACTTCTCGATGATTTAATTACTATTCATTTCAAGTACTAATCATTTCAAAAAAATATATACCTAAACAATAACATTAGCTATGCCGATGACATGGTGCTGCTGAGCCCATCGATCAGCGCTTTGAGGAAACTTGTGGCGATCTATGAGTCCCATGCAGCGGCCCATGGGCTTAAGTACAATGTCAAGAAGAGCGAACTTATTATGTTTAAAGCGCGGGCCATAACATATTCAAATATCCCTTGTGTCACGATCTGTGGCACCCGTTTAACGTGGGTGACTAAATTTAAGTACTTAGGTCATTGGTTCACTGATGATCTTAAGGATAGTTTAGATATAGAGAGGGAGCGCAGGTCGCCGGCTGTTCGATGGCTGTTCGATGTAACATGCTGGTTCGAAGATTTGCACGCTGTACAAACAAGTAAAGGTTACGCTTTTTAAGCATTCTGCCAGTCCTTTTACACGTTCAGTCTTTGGACCAGTTTTACGCAGAGGACATACAGCGACCTGCGCGTCCAATATAATAACGCGTTCAGGATGCTGTTGGGCTGTCGTGGCGTTGTAGTGCGTCCGGTATGTTTGCGAAAGCGCACAGACGACTTTTACGCAATTTTAAGAAAGAGGACCGCATCCATGGCCGGCCGGTTGCGCACCGCTACTAACAGTGTCCTGAAGGTGTTTACGGATCGGTGGGACTCCCCTCTGTTGCGCGACTGGGCAAAGATCCGGTCACCAAAATAATTGATTGTGTTTACTAACTTTAGTCCTTAAGTTTCTTTGTTTGTACTAACCCTATGCAATATGTCTGAATTAAACGATTTGAATTTGAATAGGTATATATTTTTTAGTAATAAAGGTTACAAATAAAATACTTTAAAAGTTTTTCTTCTATGCTTTGTCTAAAGTTTTTCTTTTTTACCAACAAATTAATGTCCCCATTCACAACAAGCTTACATTACATTGTTCTTGTATAAGACTGACAGAGCATGGCGAGATATATATAAATAGCTTTATGTGTTATCATAATACTCTATTTAAATGTATTTGACACGGATGAAAAAATATGTATGTATATATGCACTATAATGTGCATTAATTGCGTGTCTTTTAAATTGGATAAAGCAGTATTTTGGAATATAAATAAAGTAAGCTTTAATTTGTACTTTATGTCAATGATAAAATTATCATAAATTGTATTCCAGGCCCTGGTGCGGACCTGCTACGGAGGGAACTGGATAATCGTTTTCTGGCTGCGGCGGGCGCCGTGTCCGGTGTTCGGACAGAGATGCATCACCACCAACATCAGCATCAGCATACGCACGTGCATCAACACCCCGCCTCGTCGCACGCCCCGCACACAGCCGGCGTGCCACACGCGCCACACCCACACCAGCTCCTGGTGCCGCACGCGCCACACGCACCTCACGCGCCGCACGCGCCTCACGCGCCGCACGCGCCCCACGCGCCCCACGCGCCCCACGGGCCCCACGCGCCTCTCGTGAGTGACACTGTCTTATATACATTCGGAACTATCCTCACGAGCACGCGTCTCAATTGTCAATCGTGAGTAGCTGTGAGTCTGTATCATACTCATTTTTTGAGACTAATCTTTCTTAGGTTTCACTGAAAGATTTACAAATATGTTTATAGATTTACAAATAAGATTTACAATGTAGTTATAATTTATAAATGACAAAATTAAAGATTAAACAGAGCATTGCTTAAATCTTTATTTTGTTTACTAAACTTACAAAAATCAAATAATTTTACATGTAAACTATTCAATTATATGATTACGTTAATTCTTTTTGTCATACAAGTACAATTTATTTTTGAAAATATCAAGAAATAGTTGTGTATCAAGAAAGTACATAAAAATAGAAAATTGTTTGACCAACAGAGAAGAGAATATATTGTACTGTTGCCACTTTGCTTTCAATATTATATACATAAATATAAAGCCTGTAACTGTTACTGCATTACTACACCACTGTCACAATTTTTGTATCACTTGAATTATAACTGCTTGAATTAAGTGTTAGTTAGAGAAAAGAAAACAGAACTTTTACAATTTGAAAATCGCAAAGCAAAGAAGTTAAGAACTACTGCAATTTTTTTTTTTTTTACGACAATGCCTTAGGATGAAATCCTGTGTCGCAGGGGACTTTACAAACATACATGACAACGACATCAAGAACACCCAGACTCAAAACAACAATTTGTGGATCATTCATAGCGATGTCCCATGTAGGGGGTGCAACTCACAATATCCGTGCAGTCAATTAGCCAGATTAGTCAGATTCAAACTATCAAACTCAAGTTTTAGTTCCGGTAGCCGTATACTCTATGCTCAAATGCGATGTTCAACCATTCCATTCCACCAGTCTTACATAGCCATATTTCAATCACGCTGCACTTGGTTCTTAGGTGGGGTCTGCCTGCTCAGACAGGATCTTGGATTGCTGAGATTTTATCACCAACATCACACCCTTATGTACTGAAACCACTGAGCCCAAATTTTGAAAAGACTCCGAGACTTATATTACATTTCAAAACCTATTCAAAGTCTGTTTTTTTATTTCAAATAATAATATAGTACATCATATTGTGTGTACAAACATACATTTTTAGTTGGTTAGGACATGCACTTATCTATGCAACTAAAATATTTTACACATATAACTACTATTTCTGAAAGTTATGTTAGCTATTAACAACAATTTAATGGGCTTTATTTTTCAGTTCAAGGATATGGGTAAAATGCCATCGTTATATCGGACTGGTCTTGGCCTTGGCTACCCATATTCTTCTAGTCTGCTACATCCGACAGGACCCTACGTGCCTCCTGCACCAATGACTGCCTATGCACCTAAGGTAACAACATTTTTTATACACTTTTATATAGAAAAAAGCATATTATATAATTTCATGTAAATAAAAATACATGCACATAGATTTTATAGATTAAATATATAATACATGTACTAAGAAGTGTAACCATTCGATTAAAACATTTAATGTACGTAGTTGTTTGTAGATACATCATGACTTTTCAAAAAGCACCTAAGTCATGTGCTTCATAAAATCTTATTAATTTCTTTTTACTCTCGTCTTCTAATTCTAGCTTATGCTTACTTCATGTTTTGATTTGCTACAATCATTAACCCTGCATCGCCTAATGTTAACAGCCCGTAGTGTCAGCCGCAAGCGACTCCGCCTCTAAACCATCACCACGTCCTGCTGTTGCGGTAGGTCTCCTTCTTAGCACTTTTTATTACTTCATGTCTATTACTACTTTATGATTTTAGGTTATGTCTCAACATATCTAATGTCTGATAATCGTTTCCAAACAGAAAACTGGAAAATGGAACGCAATGCACGTGAGGATAGCCTGGGAGATCTATAACCACCAGCAGAAGGAGAAGTCTGGTGGCGCAGGAGTAACGGGCGGTAGTGCTGACAAGGACAAGTTGCGAGCTTTCCCTGCGCCGGCACCCCCGCCACCCACCTACCGCTCGCCCTACGAGCTACCGCCGGCGCCCTACCTGTCACACCACCCGCACATAGGTACGCTTCGGCGCCCCGCCGCCGCGCCCGTGCCCGACCCCGCGCTCGCAGCCTCTCACCGAGCCGTGCGCGTTTCAGGGGTGTCACCGTTCGGCCGCTACGGGCCTGGCCCCTACCCTGGCGCCGCCGGCCCTTTCGGCTTGTCGGCGTACGGGCGCGATCTGGCGCTGTCCTCGTCTCTCCACGGCGTGCATCACTCGCAGCTCGGTGCCGTGGGCGCCCTGCACGACGCGTGGCGCGCCGTGCGTCCGCCCGCCCCTCCCGCGCCCGACGTGCGACGCGAGCACGACGAGCGCGAACGAGCGCGCAGAGAACGCGACGAACGGGAACGACGAGAGCGCGAGGAGCGCGAGCGCCGAAAGGCGCGCGAGCATCGCGAACAGCGCGACCGCGAGTTTGACCGGGTACGCGCGCGCTCGCCCCTTCGCAACGGTGTCTCCGAGGTACCCAAAGAAGAGCGCAAGGAGCCACCTCGCCATGCACCGCCCTCTTTGCCTGTTTATCCACCGCCGTCGCCCTGGGACCCGTACCGCGCGTTCGACCCACTGCAGCACATGCGTTTTGCGCCGCTCGTGGAGGCGGCCATACGCGCCGAAGAAGACCGTGCTAAGATGCTCAGTGCGTACGCACACCATCAACAGCTGAAGTCGAGCCCGCTCCTGCACCGCGGGCTCGGCGCGCACGCGCCGTTGCCTCCGCTGGGCCCGCACGGGCCTCTGGCGCCGCTGGCCCCGCTGGCGCCGCCGCTGGCTCCACTAGCACCGCTCGACCTGCTCAAGAAGGAGGAGCCGCGATGATAGCGATGCGGCGAGCTAGCCGGATCGCACACTTTGTACATAGAGTAGCGTAAACGACGTCGCAAGTGAGAGTACGACTAATTTAATGTATATCGTTTCACATTATCGGTTTAGAGAATTATTTATTGTAACGTCGCTTACGGACCGTCGGACGTCGGTCTGGTCGCCGGCGCCGACGGGCCCTGACGTAGCGAATTGGAGAGGATGGTGCGAGCGCGCACTTTCTCAATATGTGCAATATTGTGGACGAGAACTCGGACGCGCCGGCCTCTACACTACTGCTTGTTTATTTACATGGAAATATCTATCGAGTTGTTATTGTGACCATTATTAGTTAATTATACATGAAATTGCTGATTATTGTGAAGGATACGATTTTCAGAATCGCTATCGATATAATTATACATATTTATATATACTTATAAATACCTGTAAATATTAGTATGTAAATTAGTGTTAAAATATAGAATTGGTTTATTTAACGTCATACAAAAGAAAATCCCATAAATTATTATTGCATCGGGAGTTTAACTTACACTTCCGTTAAAAATCTCAATGGTTTTTCAATTGTACCAGTGGAACATTATTTATTTATTTATAATCCTATTAGTGAACCCGGTTTCAATTGTAGCAGTTGTTTTATTTGAATGCATTTAAAATGTGTGATATTATTGTATTTTAAAATACATTTTGTCTGACTTCAAAGTAGTGTCGTTTCTCAGATATTTAGATGTAACAGTAATTCAATCATGTTTACATATGTATTCATCATAAATCATGACTTTTTATTTGTTTAGGAAACCATGACATAAATCAATGTTAGTAAAGTATTATGTGCCATGAAACAACCAATAATAAAGGGCATTGAGTCAGACAAAATTGGATTTAGAATCTGTCTAAACGAAGACACACTAACGGTTTGTGTTCTTAAAATCTCAAGAGTGACTCAGAAGTATAATTTATTATAGTTCATTCAAAATCATTCTGTATACTAAAAAGTAAATGGAAGCTTGGTGCGATTCAGAAAATACCATTAAAACTTTTGATTTTTATACCAATAAGATTTTTTGTACCTGTCCTGTTCCTATAAAATCCTTACGAAAACAATTATCATGTTTGCAAGTCTACTGGCATCGAACCAAACCTTAAGATATGAAGCGACATCTGGTATCCAGACGGATACTATCTAGTGCAGGGATTCCCAAACTATTTTGGGCATGAGACCACTTTTCTAAAATGAGTTCCTCCCAGTAAAACAACTGCACGCTTATCTACTTGTTGAGGTTTTCAAAAGTACAACAATGATACTTTCTATCAAAATATTACCATATTAGTAATTCTTATAACAAGTTGGTATACGTAACACAACTAATGCAGTATCTTGAAAGTTAAAATTTATTTAAATAAGAATTTGTGTTAATTAATAGGGGTCGATTTATCTCTGATATGATTGCATGTAGTCAACTAAGGCGTGGTTCCTGTGAAAATTTTTGTTTTGCCTGCTGTTGGCAACTTGAAAAGGGTATATACATGGCTTTAACAGCATCCCTCAAAGAGTGGCCTTAACTCATGAGTTCTTCTGCTTTTGATAGTGTGATAGACAACCACTAAGCTTTATTTGTAAAAATAAGGCGGATTTTCGGTCTTTTTGGTGAAATAGACAATGACAATTAATATTTTATAATATCACGCAATTTTTATGGGCAGTGGGATATAAATCCCATTGGCCGCAATGCTCTGACCCTTTTTTCTTTTTTTTTTTTTTTCATTATTTACGGAGCTTAGCCACAATGATGACTACGTCGCTCCATCATAGCCATTTTTTGTTTTAAACTTAACTTAAATATTGAAAATACATAGTATAAATATCATTAGCTGTATCCGTCAAAGGACTGGCCAGGATGCTGTTACATCTTCCAATGTCCATCAACTTATCATTAAGCAGGCGTTCTCTCAGTTGTTGGTTCCGAACACATTCCATCAAAACATGTTCTAATGCTCTGACCCTTATTACCTCATTATACCTAATAATACTATATGAAAAGAAAAATATATTTTGTCACTAAAACAAAGAAATATTTGTTAATCGATAATTTAAGTTCAAATGCGCACTATAAACTACTCAAAGTATTCATATAAAAATTTACTAATCACTTATTTCGTGCACCCGTAAACTTGCATCAAAAATGCCCGAAAGTGTGCGGCAGCCTTAACTTGTGAATTATGGACGCGTACTAAACGAGTAGTCGGAGGATCTCGAGCTGTCACCTAACGAATCTCTTAGGACAATACTCGTTTGTTTAGTTCGTAGTTTTTCGCTTAGATGTTAGAACAAGGCAATGAGGGTCAGGGGGCAGTGGTGGATGACCACCCTCATTGCCCCTTTTCCCCTACATTTTGGCGTAACATCTGGTCGGTGCCTGTCACTCATATAGAAGGTGATTGGTTGCGGGATGTCAGACGCTCACGTGAGTCTATAACACCTATAGAACCTTTCAGTCAACCGTTAATTTCAGTTTCCGTTCATTACCGAATTGGAAATCACCTGGTCCAGACGGACTGCACAACTTTAGGCTTAAGTGTTTCCGAAGCTCACATGCGTGATTGGCATCTCAATTCCAGGCAGCATTGGATTCGGGTTCATGACCCCGATTTTTAACCACTGGCATAACCGACTTACTCTATAAGTCTGGTAGTGTCATGGATCCCAAAAAAATTTACCTATCACTTGTTTCCCAACAATGTATAAACTTCTAACATCTATTCGTAGGCTCAAAATTACACATTAACATATAATAATTCGATTGTCAGTTTCTTAGAGTGGATGTAGAAGCGTGTATCATAGACATGACCATTAGCCAACAGGTACGTCGTAATCGTAAGAGTTTGGCGACATATTGGATAGACTATAAGAAGGCTTATGACTCGGTTTCACATACATGGCTTTTGAATGTGCTGGAGTTGTATAAAATTGATACAACTCTGTGCACTTTCTTAGAGTCGTGTATGGGGCAATGGAGAACAGCACTTCCCTATCCAGGATGTTGGCAGACTACGGAAACGATGTTCTATGTTTCAAGGTGATAGTCTGTCCCTTGTGGTTTTGTCTGGCTTTAAACCCTCTTAGCACTCTATTAGAGGGTTCAGGGTTAGGCACAGATTACCCCCAATAGATTCCGCATACAGGGCCACATACGACGTGACACTAAGTATCATGACATTAGTAACGACCAAGTTTGTGACCCGTACAGTCAGAGTTCTTGACAATTTAAAATAGTTGTATGTATTTCAAAATATATTAGAAATCGCTTCCTGTACAGTGAAATAGTGTAACAAGTCAGTTAAGACATCTAGTTATCAAAAAGATTGCATAACATTTCATCGGTAAGTAAATTATATTCTTATCACGTTAACCTATTTGCACAAATGCACCGGAGTTCAACTTATACTAGTGCAAAGTAGTAACAATTAAGCATCCGTTGAAATCTTTTTGAAACCTCCCTTTCACGTAAATTACAATAGTTCTCTTTGTCTACTGACTGCACGAGTATCGATAGTGATGGATTTATAGGTCGATATTTGTTTGGTCATCCTTTGTTTTTTTTTTATTAAACTTTCCATAGACAATTTAGTTTTACAAGGGGTCGTTCCACAATTGATGCTGATGATGTAACTGAAAATCAGAGTTACTTAACTTAAATTTTTATGACTGATTTTTATATATGTTTTGTAGAATATTACTCTGAAGTCATTTAAAAAGCTTCCCATGGGCCAAAACTTTTATCAGACGCTTTAAAGCTCTAAGAAAAATAAATGAACTTAATTTATTTTTAAATGTCTGGTTTTTTTATATGTCACTAAGATAACTATTACAATGTTGTAATTATTCAGTCAGACAAATCAATGACCAAACATCCCGTAAACACAAAAATTACTCAACCATGAGTATGAGCGCGAAAGCACTATGCGCATGCGCTTCAGAGTAAAGTATGTTAATAATTGAAAAATACTTACTGTTTTTAATATGTATATCTATTTGATTAAGATAAAATATATAATTAAAGTAATATTTAATTATTTTAAAAATAATTTAATGTATTGCATATATATAGGTAAAAAAAAATCGGAGTAGTTGTGTTTTAAAGAAAATTGTAATTATTTTATTTTAAATATAAATTATTTGATTGTTTTTTAATCATCTTCATCATCATCATAGTAATCATTAGAATTTTCATCATTGAGTACATCGCGAAACTGTCCATCCAAGTCATCATCCTCATCATCATCTGATATGTTATTGTTGCTAGCAGCATGTTCTGTAAAAACAAAAAGATAAACAATTAAAAAACGGAACGACCAATATGATAAATTGTAAACCAGGAATCAAAGTTCGATACCTGGTTCTTGAAGTGATTTACTAACGAATCCGGGTAATTGGCCACCATCAAACCAATAAAAAATATACTGGTTATCTTCTAACGTCCATCCATTGTTTTCAGGAGTAAAAGTAGTTGGTCGTTTTTCATTTGCATTATTCCATATGCTGGTAATATAATTAGCTCGGAGAAATTTTTGAAATAATTCAGTTTTGCATGGTGGTAAATTGTTTGCATCGAAATTTTTTAGATTTTATGGATTGAATTCTTCATTAATATCAGACACAGTATAATTATTTAAAAACAGCTGAAGCCGGGCAGCATCAACACTAGAAACATTATAAATATCGCATATAATTTTTTGTTGATTGAAAATAGCTTGTAGTATGTTTTCATCGGTAAATGACTCTGGATCTCCGAATCGCATAAAAGCTCGCTGATATTCATGTTTTTCATCATTACATTAAATGGTTACCTTTTTTAAAAAAGGCAGGATTAAAATCACATCCAGTCAATGCGTGAAATCCTGGCAAACTTGTAGAAGTTTGCCAGGATTTCACGCATTGACTTTTAGGAAAGAATCTTCTGTGGCGTTTGAGTGTGTTGATGAATCCTTTTCTAATAATTTTTCTTTTGATAGTAATTATGTTTATTTATTTCATTTTAAGAAGGCTTACAGACTAATAACAAACTTTGCTTAAATAAAAATATCAATAAAAAGGTTGCTTATAACAAGCCTCCACATATGTATAAGAAAGTGAATAGAAACAAAAAACATAAATTTTGCAGTAGGTAGTCAAATATGAACGCAGTCTAGTTCATATAAAAATATATTTATTTTGACAGTACACGTGTGCTCAGCATGAGCTTGTTTGATTCAAGAACATTTTTGGTTAAGGAACATTGGCTTATATACTAATAATTGGGTGCATGTGTGCATGGTGTACAGTACCTCACACATGCGCTTATTCAGCGAATGACATTAGTCTAATGGTTTCAGACATACTTAGGGATCAAGTCTTTATTGATTTGGTCATCATTAATTTTATGTGAATTAACCATTGGAAACATGAGTTGATGAATTCTCAGTAGTTATTGGGTGGCATGATGTCCCTTAGTTTATTGTTATGGTACGAGGTAAGGGTTGGCTATGTATAACTCCTCCCTCCGTAAGTGCAAAATCATCATCCGAGTTTTGAGGGTGTTGATTTTGATTGAATCGTTTAATCATAGTATGTCTGTAACGGTACAAAGTTATACTTAACATTAATGTTAAAATTAAATAGAGTACAATGGTGCCTATGCTAACACTATGTATATTCACAACTTGATTGTCACTGTTACTAATCTGAGAAATAAGAACTGTAAATTTTCCAGGTCGATTTCGTCTAAGTTGATAGTTGAGCGTAACTTGATGTCCTCTGGTACTATGATGCTTGGTAGATGTATCGTTGGTGTGCTTCGAAAGTCCAACTCTGCTGCTTGAAGGCGACGTTGTCTTAAAGTTATTTTTCCTAGTTTTACTTCACAAGCGTTATCTAGGGTAATAATGTAAGTGCCCATGACGCCGCGTTGGCTTGTCTCGCTGTCACAGTACTCTGTCAGGAATGTAGGGAAACCTGCGTAAATGAGCCAAGAATTTGGCTGTATGTATTTTATTTTAATGTCTGATGCGTTGACAGGAAGGGGGTGACAAGACATTATCTTAGCAGAGAACGTCATCAGGTCCTTGATGCAAGTAGTTTCTTCCTCGAAGGACACGTTGCTCTCGTAACAAAGGAACTTTCCTTGGTCAATCTCTCTGCAAGGCTGGGAGAGCGATACTAATTTCAACCCTTTCGCAAGGATGTGGGAATGTTTAGGAGTTATAAGGAATGATAGGTTAAGGTTAGGATTGTACATTGGAAATGGATGTAGGGTATAATAATTATAGACATCTAATTGGACTGTTGGTACTGACATAATAAAAGTTATTTGTTTACCCTTTACATAAGCTTTGATGTCTATGCAATGTTCTATATTAACTAAGTTCGTTATTGTAACAGGAAATGCTAACCTATCCGTTTTCTCTATGTCCTTTAGGATTTTAAATAATTTGTTGGTGTCTAATATAGACTGATGTAATATATTTACTCTACTAAACGAGATTGCTGTATCTACTTCATCCAAGCGGGTTAATAATACTTGAAAGTTATGTGTTAACAAATTATAGGTATTTAATACCAGGTTCTTAATTCTTTGGAATTGAGTTTTGTTTAAAATTTCTTCTATTTCCTTAATGGTCTTTACTAAAATTATAAAGTTATTTCTAGTAGAATTGGTAATGTTTACAAAAGTATCAACCATTTCGGAAATTAAGGTTATTTTACTAGACATTACATTTTGTTTCGATTGTATATTATTGATCAAGTTATCATATCTAATTGCATCTTCATTATCCATATTTCCAGTAATTGCTTTTATAATAGATCCTGCGGGGTTGATAAGTCCTCGTTTGATTCTATTACTTGGAATTAATTATTTATATCTCTGTATAGTTATATTCATAATATATTGAGTTTGTAACTCAGCATCGACAAGGCTACCATCTAACGTATACATATCTATTTTATCTTTCATGTAACTAGTTATCTCTAAATATTTTCCTATGTTATAATCTAAATTCCTATTAATCAAATCTAAGTCTAATATCTTAATAATATGCCAGTTATAGAGGCTTAAGGATGCTTGCCCTTCCCGTACAGGGAGAACTCCTGGATTATCTTTAATCCTTTGTAGTTGAAGGGCCAGGCTTAGGACTGCCTGAGTTGCCATCACCAGGACGAACCTGTGAAGGACGTTTAATATCTTTAGCGGGTACCCTTTTTATTTTATTCATTGGGGTTTCTATCAGAACAATATTTCTATTGGGTTCTTTTCTATAATTTTTGCTTTTTGATATCTGGGTTTGTCTTTACTTCGCCTAGTGTTTACTCCTTTGACGTAAACGTTGTCACCTAATTTTATATCAAATTGCTTTTCTCCACCGCGTTTTTCTTTAATTTTTTCTTTCGTTTGTAACATTTTGTTAGTTAGATAATTATATAGGTACTTAGTGCGTTTAACGTGGTCACAAACTAATTGTTGGGTGCATTTTCTATTGAAATCTGTTACAAAAATACTCGAAGCGTCTGTATGTCCAAATACTACCTCAAAAGGTGTTAAACCGGTTGTTGAGTGTATGGACTGATTGTAAGACATAATAGCATAAGTCATAACAGTTGCAGCATCTGTTATTTTCCTTTCGTATTTAGCTAATCTGTATATTTCTATTATGGTTGAATGGAATCGTTCTATTAATCCCATAGAATTTGGGTTATGAGGTGTACTGATGTGTAAATCGATCTTATAGAATGTTAACATTTCTTTTAATAAATTGTTGTTAAACTCTGTTCCTGGATCTGCACTAATACGTGACGGTACACCGTATAGCGAAAAGTATTTTATTAGTGCCCTAACTACTTCCGGTGTGGATCTATTAGGTATTTATAAAGCTTGTCCTAGCTTACTGAATACGTCTATAATGGTAAGGAAATAAGTTCCTTCTATAGAAAATATGTCCATGAATATTTCCTGAAATGGTTTAGTTTGAGTTTGTGTTAACTGTAGTTCTGGTTCTATTGGTTTTCTGTCGTATTTCATTTGTTTACAGATTTCACAAGAATTAATAATACTGGCTACTGTCTGTTCTAAGTTGTTCCAATAATATGTGCGTTTTAAGTGGGCTGTTGTTTCCTTGATACCACGATGGCAAGTTTTTCCAATATGATATTTAAGGACGATTTCTCTCTGTTCATTTTCATCTTCTACGTAAATTACCCGTTCGGTACATTCGAATATTTTAATAGTGTCCTTTTTAAACAATGTAGTTATAATATTTGCAAATTGTTCTCGGTGACGTATGTCTTCGAAATAGATAACGTATTTTATTTTCGGTTTGATGTATTCTTTTAAATATGTTTTAATTATTTCCGGATTGTTTAGGGGCATGTGTACTTCATAAACCTTCTGCTTGTCTCTAGATAAATCTTTTACGCTTAATTCGTTTTTGAACCATGTGTATATAAGTATTTGGTTTGGCTTTGTGTCAATTGCTTCTTTTAATATGGGAATTCCTGATGTATCGGTGTTCACATCTGAGTGAATTGATGCTATAGAGGATGAGTCAACTCTTTCGGAAGCTGTGAGTGTTTCACTTCCTACCGAAGGTATTGAGTAGCGGGATTTAGATCTAGATATCGTAGTTAAGGTGTCTTCGTCAGATGAGATCTCTATGCACTGTGGGCTAGTTTGTTTACCCGTATTGACTATCATAGATATGTCGTCTAATGCGTTAATTCTTATTCTCGATAATGCATCGGCATTACAGTTTTGTTTTCCTGGTTTGTGTTTTATACGTAGTCGTACTCGGACAGTCTAAGTCTCCATCTGGTTAATCTACTTCCAGGTTCTTTAATAGAATTTAGCCATACTAATGGTTTATGATCACTAAGTATTGTGAATTTTTTGCCGTATAGATAGGGTCTGAAATGCTTGCATGCCCATACTACTGCTAGTAGTTCTTTTTCGATAGCACTGTAACGTGTTTCTGCATCGTTAAGTGTTCGGCTAGCAAATGCTATAGGTTTGTCGCTACCTATAGGACCTTGTGACAGGACTGCTCCTAACGCAAAGTTAGATGCGTCTGTTGTTAACAAAAAGGGCTTATCAAAGTCTGGGTATTGTAGCAAAGGTGCGTTAGTTAATAGTTCTTTGCATTTTTCAAAGGAATCTACGAATTGTTTTGTAATAATGACCTTATTTCTTTTCTTTAAACAATTAGTTAAGGGTTGTGTAATCTTAGAAAAGTCTTTTATAAATTTACGGTAATAGCCTACTAATCCTAGGAAACTCTTGATTTCCGTTGGTGTTTTTGGTAAAGGGAACTGTAATACAGCTTTTATTTTGTCGTCATTTGGTTTAAGACCGTCTTTTGTAATTGTGTGTCCTAGATATAATACTTCCTTCTTTAAGAATTCACATTTATCTAGTATTACTTTGAGGTTTGTCTGTCTAAGTCTGTCAAATATTTTCCGTAGTTTCATTATGTGTTCCTGTAAACTATTTGAATATACTATGATATCATCCAAGTATACTAAGCAATGAAAGCCTTGTAATCCTCGGAGCACATTATCCATAGCTCTTTGGAAGGTAGCGGGTGCCGTTTTTAAACCAAAAGGCATCCTAGTAATTTCAAAGTGTCCTGATTGAGTTGTAAATGCTGTCTTAGGTTGGTCTTCCTTCTCTACTTCTATTTGATGATAACCACTGGCTAAATCAATAGTCGTAAAGTAGCATGCTTTTCCTAGTCTATCGAATAGGTCGGTGATATTTGGTAATGGGTATTTATCATCTATAGTAATTTCATTGAGTCTTCTGTGATCGATTACCATACGGAACTTCTGTTCCCCGGTGGCATCAACCTTTTTTGGTACTAAGTGTACTGGGGCACTCCACGGAGAATGCGACTCGGTGATAACTTTGTTTTCTAATAATTTATTGACTTGTTTTTGTATTTCCTCATTTTGGCTGATGGGGTGTCTGGGGTGGGACGGGGTATGGACGTATAAATATGGGGTCTTCGTTATTTGTGCGAATTTTGTGTTTAACTTGGTTTGTAAATGACAAGGGAACTTGTTCGCAATAGAATATGTCCTTGTACTCTAGGCATAAATTTGTGATTAAGGATTTTTCTTCTAAGTTTAAGTGGTCTAGTCGCAACTTATGTAAGTTGTCTTCTAATACTTGTTCTAAATTAGGGATAGAATTTATGTTATTACAGTTATTAGTTTTTGTAGGTAAATCTAGTTTAGATACCTTAAAGGGTCTCGTAAATGTTATTTTCATTTCACTATCTGTTGTATTTTGAATCACGGTTTGAGCGAATGAATTTATGCAGTTTACCATAGCGTCAGGCATACGTACTCCTGAGCAAAACTCGGTGTAATTTAATATTGCGTTACCATTTTCTAAAGAGGTAGGTACCTTTACACGTTTTTCTGACCTAGGGGGTATTACTATATGGTGAGAGGGGTTATATAGAATAGAGATATTCGTCGTTCTTGTTCTTAAAATTGAATCTTTCATATCTACATTGGCTTCTAATTTTGTTAGTAGATCTGATCCAATAAGACCATTGTATGTGTTATCCACGTTGTAAATATAAAACTTGTGTTGGAAATTTTCTTTGAACGTTTTTGGTACGGGGATATTTGCGATTTGGTCATGTTTACTGCGACCATGAGTGCTAAAGACTTCGGTTGGTTCTGAACTAATATATTTCTTAAAATATCGGTTTGCTAATTCTAAATTTATAAACGAACGTGTACTACCCGTATCAATTAAAAATATTGACTGTATTTCAGGTAAACATATATGAGGTAATTTAAGACCGTTATAATTGAGTTTTATTATTTCGGTTGGGGTATTGGAGAGGCTTCTATTTGAAAATTTGCGTCTATTTCTTCACTACTGTATTCGTTAGTAAATTGAGTATCTTCCTCCATATTAAATTCGTCTATAACCGTATCGTCATAGTCTTGTCTGAATTCATAGTCAGCTTCTTGTTCATTTAGCATATTATTTTGTACGGTACGCATTGTTACGTCTGTATGTGATGTAGAATGCGGTTTATGCTGTTGATTGGTATTAATCCCAAATCTAAATTGCTGGTTAGGATTTGGTTTAAAGAATCCTGACTGCTTATAATTATTTAAAGCACGTGGAAATTGTTGTGGTGGACCATTAAATGGTCTATTAAAGTTAGGCTTAAATGGTTGATGTAGATTTGGTCTAAAACCTTGTGGCTGTTGGTTAAATCTATTGTTATTAATATTAGGTACAAAATTAGGTTTAAATGTTGGTTTAAATATTTGGTTATTCTGTGGAATAGAAAACTTATGTTGAATAGGTGTTGTAAAACTTAGGTGTTGTTGTGTTGGTTTGTGCGATAAATTCTGATTATTATGATTAAAGTTTGGCTTTATTTTATTTTTTGAGTTACATCTAGTTTGGAAATTAACTTCTTCAATAACTACACTAAGTGCTGATTCTAGCGTTGTACATTTATTTAGTCTGACAAACTTTATCAAATCCTCGGGTAAATTATATAAGAATTTAGTGCGGCATTATTATATATAATATATTTAGCGGCTTTAATTCCTTCGTCCGTTAAAATATTTACTTTAGAAATGAGAGAGCTCTTAACATTCTGTATTCTATGACAGAAATCTATATACGACTCCCCATGTTTTATCTTAAGGTTGTCTAACTCTATGCTAATGCATGCTTCAGATCTAGGGTCTCCAAAGTGTTGGACAAATACTTCTTTTAATTCTTCGAAAGTTTTAATATTTCCTCGTTCACTTACTAAGATAGCAGCTTTTCCTACTAACCTACTGGTTACACAATGGTAGAGGTAAGCTTGTTGAGTAGGGTTATTGTCCCCACGGAAACTTTTAATTACATATTCACATTTTGAAATAAATAAATTGAGTAACTTATCATCTCCATCGTATCTAGGAATGATGCTCTGAATTTCTTTGGGTATTAATTGAATTTGACTCATTTTGATTACAATGATTACAACTTTTAGGGTAAAAAAAAAATTACGTAAACGACGATTTTTGTTCGAATTACGTGACTTAATAGCTAAAACTGTGTAATCTACTGAAGTTTGAGTAAAATACACATACGTCTAAATGGCTTCGTCTAAATTAGATATAAATATAATAGACAAGGGTTTAAGGAAATGCGAATAAGGGTCTACTCACAATCTGCTCGATCCCATGCCGTTTCTTGAGTAGCTTGATGCAGGACGCGTGTCGTTCAGTTGACTTATTTGTTTGATAGGTTCGACGGAGTTAGTGTCATGCGTCTAGGATAACGTAAACGACCGATTCTTGTGTTTTTATACGATCACTATTCGCGACTACTAATCCGACCCGGCTGCGCCAGTCAAATATGAACGCAGTCTAGTTCATATAAAAATATATTTATTTTGACAGTACACGTGTGCTCAGCATGAGCTTGTTTGATTCAAGAACATTTTTGGTTAAGGAACATTGGCTTATATACTAATAATTGGGTGCATGTGTGCATGGTGTACAGTACCTCACACATGCGCTTATTCAGCGAATGACATTAGTCTAATGGTTTCAGACATACTTAGGGATCAAGTCTTTATTGATTTGGTCATCATTAATTTTATGTGAATTAACCATTGGAAACATGAGTTGATGAATTCTCAGTAGTTATTGGGTGGCATGATGTCCCTTAGTTTATTGTTATGGTACGAGGTAAGGGTTGGCTATGTATAACTAGGTATATCACAGTACCCACTGTTATGTATTCTCTCCACAGACAATGAAGAGAACACATCAAATGCAGTATTGCCACAATAACCATTAATTGAGTATTTGTTTACATCAACAACAACAACACCATATGACGATAAACTGCCAAGCAAGTCAACCATTATTCAAAAAATCTATTTGCCAAACGCCGCCTTATTGCAGCGGGGCTGTTATGAAATAGGTCAATATCTAGGTCTAAGGAAATACTGTTGTAAGTTACCGCAGTACGCAAGAAAAATGAATTACGTCTGTAATTTGCTGAGCCCAAAGGAACATTTAACAATGGTCTCTGCCGGAATCTTGTTGGATTGGCACGTAGGCATATTTTTGAGACAAGCTCGGGAGAGTCCAACGATCCGTTCGCAATGTTTAATAAAAAGCAGACGTCTACATTCTAGGGGTAAGAAGTGATATCTCTTACATCGATGCTCGTAATTAGCTGAGAACCGTTGCGCTCGAAAGTCAAGGTATCGCAAAATTAAATTTTTAATACCTTCAATACGCAATTTGTATATTTTATATTGAGGGTTCCAAACCTGCGAGGCATACTCTAAATGGCTGCGCACGAAGGCACAATATAGAATTTTTAAAGTTTTTAAAGATGTGAAAGTGGATGAGGTTTTAGTTATAAATCCTAATGCCTTTGATGCCTTCGTAACAATTGCATCAATATGCTGGTCTAGCAGAAGTTTGGTATCCAACACAATGCCCAAGTCTCTAACTTTATCAACTTTCTTGATATTTTGGCTACATTATGTGTACACTGAGTCAGTAATAGATTTCCGCCTTGAATAAGCAACACAAAAACACTTAGCTACACTTAGCTCGAGCTTGTGTATGCTACAATAAGTTTCTAATCTGTTAAGATCTGCTTGTAAATGTTCAGTGTCTAATTCATTCCGTATCACCTTATGAATCTTCACGTCATCGGCATATAGTAAAATATAGGAGTGTTGAAAACATTTGCCTATATCAGAGATGAACAATGTAAAGAGCAACGGTCCGAGAATCGAACCTTGAGGCACACCGGAAGGGACCTTATATGGTCTAGAGCAGTAACCCTTGTAATACTACTGCCTGGGTGCGATTCTCAATGTAAGAAGTGAACCACCGAAACAAGTCGCCATGTATTCCTGCGCACAGTAGTTTATTTAAAAGCACTTCATGGTCGATACGGTCGAAGCATTTACTGTAGTCTGTATAAACTACGTCTACCTGACCATGCTCCTCCATGCCCTGCGTTATAATTGACATCATCATATCATTGCCATCAATTGACAACAGGAGCAAGTTGGAAGTGGTGGAGCGTCCCCCTTAAAAAGCCATGTTGTTCTTCACTAATATTACTCCTCAAGGCTGAGTAAACCTGTGTATATACAATTCTTTCCAGAATTTTTGAAAATAAACATATTTTGAAAATGGGTCGATAGTTTTTTACATTCGACCGATCTCTTTTTTTTTAAATAGGTGTAACGAACGCAGACTTCCAGATCTGTGGGATAGTGCCTATGTTGGGACATATGCATAATTTAAAAAATAATGATTGATGATTGAAGTGGTATCAATACTGGATAAGCCTGATGTCGATGCTACAGATTTATTTTCAACAACTCCCGATGATTTTTTTTTATCATTTTTTTGTTTTTCTGAGGTTGGAGAGTAATATTTTTTCGGCAAAGCAGTAAAACATTTGTAACATTCACGATGGTAACCACTTTCGTACAAATCATCCGGTAAAACTACGTCTTTGAATTTTAGGTTATGGATTGTTCTGTGTTTTAAAATAGTTTGGCACTTTTTTAATGTCTCTACTGAAAAAAAAAAATTTTCTCATGAGATTTTTTACAAAATATATATATATATTCAATGATGGTGCCGCGGATTCTTCTATTGAATATCTGATATTATAATATATCATATATAGTTTAAGAAGGGGAACCGAGTTACCATCGATGTCTCACTCGCTCTAAAACGCCTGTAGGTATAGTGCTCTCGCGCTCATACTCATGGTTGAGTAATTTTTGTGTTTAGGGGATGTTTGGTCATTGCAATTTATCTGACTGATTAAATATAACATTGTAATAGTTATCTTAATAACATATAAAAAAATCAGACATTTAAAAATAAATTAAGTTTTTATTTTCTTAGTTATTTATTTTTCTTAGAGCTTTAAAGCGCCTGATATAAGTTTTGGCCTATGGAAAGCGTCTGATTTTTTTTATATGACTTCAGAGTAATATTCTACAAAACATATATAAAAATCAGTCATAAAAATTTAAGTTAAGTAACTCTGATTTTTAGTTACCTTTCTCACCTGGTACCTGCGTAGGTGTTACCGGGCAAGCTCCACAAACGTTCAGGTATTAAAAAGTACACAAGAGACTACTGAGAACCGAAAGTTATATGCTTTAGAAAATAAGTTGTGTCACGGCTCTGGGATCTTACTCTATGAGATTATAAAAAATATATTTGATGCGATTTATCTAAAGCTTTTGATTATGTTATTCATGAAACGCTTATCAAATTACAGCACTATGGTATCTAATAGGATTCAGAAAGTTGATTTTAAGGGTGAGCGATATCCGGGTTCTGTGGTAGAAATGGGCGTTTCACAAGGTTCTATGCTCGGCCTTTTTTGTTTTTAGTACATACATATACAGATACATCACTATTATTTAGACTCGAACGCACATTTACTAATTCCACAGACGTAAACAGTGCCATTTACAAAGTGGTTCATTGGTTTGACATTAACAATTTGCTTTTGAATGAAAAAAGAAACTAAGTGTATACGGTTCATCACGCCAAACGTCCAGCCAGTGAAAACCACTGTGATGTTTAAGGATTTCGAGCTAAACCTTGTATATACAACGACATTTTTAGGAATAACATTAGATTCTAACCCAGTGAATACATGACATCCATATGACGTTCAAGATAGGTCATACAGATGAAATAGAATTTTTACATAGATATGACATAATAATAACTTTATTGAAGACTGACATGATGTCATATGGCATGACATCATTATGACATAGTAATGCCTTCTGAGTTCTAATTGACGTCATAATTCTGACGTAAATACTATGTCGTAAGCCTTCCATGTGTGACGTTATTTACTTCATATTTTTGTAAGCATCCAGTAGCAATTTTATATCTCTATCACATCAGAGTTGTCATGCTGTTGGAGTTAAGTCATAATGATGTCAATTAGAGGTCATATTAACGACATCTATCCTACGTAAGAATCTTACGTCAGGAAGTAGGAAATTATGAGTCATATATGATATCTTACGTAAATCTTGAATGTTTTTATTGTTCACCAGGATAGTTTCAGTGACAATAAATTACCAACGGGACCGGTATTGGAAGCTTCATGCTTCTCAGATTAGATATTTAAGTCTAAACATTATCGTTTAATTATCACGGGACTACAATATTTTTTCTTTGATAATATTTCAATAAGAATATAAATTTATTATGTCATCATCATCATCAGCCTATTGCAGTCCACTGCTGGACATAGGCCTCTCCCATTGCACGCTACTTAGATCGATTTTGGGCTTCTCGCATCCAGCTCCTGCCAGCCATCTTGCGCAAATCGTAATTATATAATTTTATTAAAAATAATGTTTCACTAGTTACTAAAGGTATTTTTTTTGGATTTGATTCTCAGGCTTAGGCTGTAAAAAAACCATTCCATTCTAATAAAAAAGAATAAATCAAAAAGTTTGTTACGAAATAGTAAGTAGGTAACTAACGTCACACATATCATAAGGATAGGACATAATATTTACGTAATATTTAACTCACATTTATTACGTCATTTAAAGTCAAATTTTAAGTCCGTACTAGATCGCAGATCCATTGTACTGCAAAATATAAGGGAACTGACTATTTAGAACGATTCAATATAAAAATATTTTTTTTGGTGTCTAGCTAGGTCAAACTGGTTTACCTATTTAGACAACAAAAAATTTGTTTGGCGACGCACAGGTGTGCGTTGCCCCAGCGGAAAAAGTTAGAATTTCATTGTTTGAGTTTAACAGATATTTAGTGTATGACGTCGTGAAATTGTGTACCTATGGTAAGTAAAAATTTGTGCATCCAACCATTGTGGAGTTTTTCGCGAAAATCTGTTTCTGGCACTTTTTTTTCCTATGGATGTCGAAGAAAAAAAATGTGGTATCAAAAATTAGTGTATGACGTGAGGTAATTGTGTGTGTTTAAATGAAATTTGTGCGTCAATAAACTGCGGAGATATTCAGGTTGCCGCTGCGACAACGTTTGACCATTTGCTAGATTTTATATAAAACGCTTTTCTAGAGAGGTGTAGATTTTTTCATGCGTTGTTTTGAATTAGTTTGTACTGTTTGTAAAAAAAGATTTAAAAAATACCATACCAGTCATAAGATATAAATATAAACGTAAAATGAGGTTATTAGGTCCTAGTACGTAGTGCTTATACACAAGGGTATAGTTTATAACGTTTATACATACCTTGTAAGCATATACAACGGCTTACCAAGTATCAGTAATTTACTCTTAGTAATTAATGAGCTATGGGATAATTTACCACGACTGGACCAATGTTTTATTTGCAGTCTTATTACACGAGATTCTAAAGGAAATGCGTTATAAAACCTATTTCAATAATAAGTGCATTAATTCAAGTATTCATATGTTTTCATTTCTTTACACTCAATAATTAAGGAAATACAATTAAAATACTGACTACCGTCGCAATTCGTACAAAACCCGACCGAGTTTGGATCATCATCTGCCTACCCTTTTCCCAATTTTATTTGGGGTCGGCGCAGTATGTATGATTTTTCCATTCTACTCTGTCATGCGTCATCTCACTGTTTACTCCCTTCCTAGCCATATCCTCCCTGACGCAGTCCATCCACCTCTTCTTCGGTCTGCCTCTTCTCTTGTACCCTTCAACTCTCATACCTAAAACTTTCTTCGCCACATTTTCCTCATCCCTCCGCATGACATGTCCATACCAAGATAACCTATTACTTCTTAACTTTTCATCCAGTGGCGCTACTTTCAGACTCCCTCGTATATACTCATTCCTAACCTTGTCCATCTGAGTCACACCACACATCCATCTCAGCATTCGCATTTCGGCTACATTCAGGCGTCTCTCATCCGTTCTCTTAATGGGCCAACTTTCAGAGCCATACAGGACGGCAGGTCTGATAATAGTTTTATAAATTTGTCCCTTCAGTGTTAAGGGGAAACTGGGGTCACAAGTTGTTCCCGTTACCTGCCGCCACTTCATCCATCCCGTATTGATTCGATGCTGTACAGTTCGATCAATCTCACCATCACATTGTAAGAGGGAGCCGTGGTACTTGAAATTGGAGCAGATTGTTATCGCTATCCCATCCAGCGAAATGGTTTCAGGACTGGAGAGACCGCCGAAATCGCAGAACATGTACTCAGTTTTGGTTCCGACCGAGTTTGGATGGCTACGAAAAAGCGGCCGTGCAGTATATTTAGGTAACATTCTACAATTTACAGTATAGTATATAGTAATTTTGTACCGTTGCATACACAACGGATAGGTTTAAATTGGTTTAATTTTTTATCATTAAGCGGTCAAAAACTTCAAGTAATAATGACTTTTACAGATTTGATTAATAGGCATAGATTTATAGGTAAAAATATGAGGTATCTGAAAATGTGAGAAAAGAGCTCGTCTAAGCAGGAAACGCATGGAGGAGACTTCCTCAACAGCAATAATGGCCTCTTTCATTAGGAAAAATGAATGCGAAAAAATGGAACATATTGTCCAAGAAAATTGTCCCAGCGGAAACAGTTTTTCGTGAATAACTCCCCAATGGTTGCACAAATTTCTACTTACCATACACTATTACACGACGTCATACACTAAATATCTGTTAAACTCAAATAATGAAATTTGTTCTTTTTCCGCTGGGGCAACGCACACGACTATTGTACTCGTATACCAAGTTTTTCGGGTAAGTTTCGTTTTCAGTTAGGAGTACCACGTTTTGCTGACGTTGCGGCCGTCGATAGATTATGGCAAACCTGAGCAGATGCTATGCTCCAGACGGGATCGAGAGAGGGCTGATGCTGCTCATAGGAGGCAGCGGAGGTGACGCGGCAGAGGTCGCTAGCTCCCCAATCACCGCCTAAGGGTCGTTGAACGATCCGAGACAGGTGACACCCCGGTGGGGCCGGGGGGTGTCGTCTAAGGCGGGGTGCTGTTGCGGCTCTTGCTGTGTATAGCAGTGAGCGGCGGGGTAACTACGGTCACCCCAGGATTATATATAATTGTATTTTTTTTTTCTTGCTGATTAAATTTACAAAGCTTAAGGTAGGCCCACCCCGACGCAGCACACATTACTGTGTGCCGCTCCGGGGCGGGCCCACCTTAACACGTTCACAGTGCATGTACCACATGTGGGCCACTATGAAGACATCATTACACGTGCGTGCACCACAAATGGACCATGAGTCTATCTAAATTAAAAGTTTTTCTAAGTTTGCACGTGTCCATTGAAACTTTTTTTACCGAATTTTCGTCAGTGTTGCAAGGCATTAGAGGTTGAAAATGAAAACAATTTTTTTTAAAGGAAATGTTTAAATAAATTGTAAAAGTGAAAGATAAAAACCAAAAATAACTAATCAACAGCACATGCTATGAGCGGAGCATCGCGAATACGTAGAGACTTGTTACAGTTTTGAAAACTTTTTACTCATACTTGCGCTACATGCTAATCGGCCGGCATAACTTTTTAATTTTACCCACATGTTGTTTTTTTCATTTCTTAGTTTGAGTTTTGTTTTGTTATAATTTAATCATATTTATGCCAATCATCGGTTGTATTACCACGTTTTGTACTATCAATAATCCTGTCGAAATCCTGATTTTCAATAGTTCGGCATCACTCTTAATAGTTTTTTTTTTCAGCTACTCGCTTTCCAGAATGTATTTAAACCAAGGTGGGTTTTACCTTGATTTTACACACTAAGGTATTTTTTGACTATTGATTTTTTTTAACTAAACTGATCGGCTTCCCTAGACTCTGAGCCCTATAACTATATAGGCTTTTATATGATGGAGGTACTCAATAAGTTATAGGATATTCCATTTTATTTTAGTTTGTCCCGCTCGAGTATAAATACCACAATCTCTTCAAGGCCTTATAAATTCAGATTTATCTGGAAATTAAAAACCATTTACAAAAAAAAAAAGAATTGATGCTTCCACTACAGTTTATTTACTGTACAACAAAGAGATATAAATTTATTTATAAATAATTAAATCATCTACACTTGATTATTTACTTCCTGTACCATATTTGAAGTGATTTCATCCTTTTAACTTTCTTTTGCAATTGAAGTACTCCATAGAGCAAAGCTTCAGCTGTTGGTGGGCATCCAGGCACATAAATATCCACAGGGACAATACGGTCACAACCTCTGCAAGACAATTGCAACAATATCAGAATTAAATATTACTGCTGTAAAGAAGAACAGCAGATCCTATACACCTAGTAATATATGATGGATGGTTATGAGATTGGCACTGTTTGTAAAACAAGAACGAAGACAGTAGTTGCGGAATGCAGTCGCCATGGCCGGAACTGGTCGGATCATCATGACTGTTTATAGTTTTTGTTTTTTTTTATATATTTTTTTACTATTTTCATGTAATTATCATATTTACAGAACTTTTCTGAAAGTGCATAAATTCTTCTCAAAAATTGTTCAAGTGTTTTATGTATGTATGTTGTATGTTTAAATCAATATTAACAAATTAGCTCTCGTGTATTCAGCAGTTAAAAACGATCATTTTTTTATTACTGAGGTTGGCTGTACAGATTAGAGACAGTAAACGTATGAATTATTTTAAATAAATTAACTAGCGATCCGCCCGGCTTCGCACGGGTGCAATGTAGATATTAGTAATGTGGTGCCAGTGTGGAGTAGCTAATTATACTATTATTATGATAGGATTGTACTACAGGACATTTTTAAATGCAATATTTATAAGGCCCGCTACGATCCTGCCCACCGCTGCCACCCGGGATAAACGTATGGCTCGACGATCGTTGGGCTAATAATATCTTCTAAATCGACGGTAATATCTTCTAAAATATTCATTTTAATATGCTGTACAGAGCAATTTTAACTACATTAAATGTACAACGTATCTTACGTATTTAATTTGATAAGGAATAATAACGTATTGTTTAAAATAGCTTCGTAAATAACCCATTAGTTTTTTGTAATATTTAAAAGTAAAAAATGGTTACTTTGGGTTATCCTTACTCCTAAGGATAGACATATACCATCGCGAACTTTTTTGTAGATCTTTTTAAGATTACAATTCCGTAGTTCATTATTTTGGTCTGTCTCGTAAGGATTAGTCAGCATTTGCAACGTAAGCGCACAAAACCATGTTTCTTAAGACAAATCTTTGAAATTCTCGAATGTATTTTACATATAAACCTTGCCTTTGAATCACTCTCTCTATTGGTGAAAACCGCATTAAAATCCGTTGCTTAGTTTAAAAGATCTAAGCGTACAACACAAAAAAGCGGCCTTATTTTATACGATGTAAATATTTTAGAAAATAGACTATTTTTTTTTCCTGATATTCTATGAATATAACATAGTTTAGAAAAAGATACCCACCATTATTAAACTATCAACAGGTCGATTGATGTTAGAGAAGACCACGAGTGGTTTCGCCCAAAGCAATACTAGGTTCAAACCTTTTCCATGTTTTTGTAGTAATATAAGGACAAGAACAATATTCTTGCTATTTAGAAACATTGACAGTAGAAAGCGTTTAAGTTTGGTATGGCCGTATTGCATGTTGCTCAACTTGGCATAGACACTTCCATGCCTACAGATATATTATAATAATGTACCTTACACATCTCACACATAGCTGTCTGGTCCCACACCAGGCAGAGCCCGGGCTATTGTAACAAATCTGCTGATAAACATACTTATATTTTTAAATACATACATATTATAAATGTATTTGTTTTTTGTTAATAATACTATAGTTTAAACATTTTTTTATGTTTTAAAAACATACTACTTATACAAATGTTAAAATTATAATAGTAGTACTAGTATTTCCACATAGAACTACTACACTCCAACAAAAAAAAAAGCATGAGATCACAGAAGGTTAAAAAGTTCAAAAATATTTTACTCAAATATTATTCTTCAGGCCAGAGATCAACACTTGCTTGAATTCTGGGTTATTCATTATTAAAAATTTGAATAATTTAGGCCATTTTTGACATAAAATTTGTCAAATTCCTAAATAATTGCAGATTTTATCTACTTTTCAGAATGAAAGTACCTAATTTTAAAAAAGGATATAGATTAGAGTGTGATAGATAATAGAAAGAAATATTTAGCCTTTTTATTTTGAGATGTGTTGTAACATAAAAGTGTTTAAAGTTTTTTTTGTTGCTGTACCAAATTTTCTGATATCTCCATTAGAAGAAACAAATTCTAAATTAATACATCCTTTTAGATATAAGATAAGCCTTTAACCTAATTCTATTCCCTCTCTCAGGAACTTTGTGATGAAATGTGAAAATATATAAATCCCATATATATAAGTATGATTAAATTTAAATATATTCAATTTTTTTTTGTGATTCTTTATTACTTACCTTACAACTGAGTAGGAGTAATGATAGTATCCACCACCATTTGCACAGCTGCCCATTGAAATAACCCATCTTGGGTCTGGCATTTGGTCATAAACTTTCCTTAAAGCTGGTGCCATTTTATTAGTCAATGTACCAGCTACGATCATAACGTCAGCCTGACGTGGCGAGGCACGAAAAACAACACCATATCTATTTGAAAAATGAAATTGTCATCAAGAAAGAGAAGTTAGCCTTTTATAAAATAATAATATACTGTTTTTAAAACAGACAAATAAATAAACACTTCTGTTCAAGACATTTGACACTTACTTTAATAAAAAAATATATATATTACACACTAGCTGAGACCCGCGTTTGTTGTTATAGCCGCGGGGCGAAGCTAGTCTAAAAAAAGTAGCCTAAGTTACTCCTTATGTCATCAGCTATCTGTCAGTAAAAGTCCCGTCGAAATCGGTCCAGCCGTTCCAGAGATTACCCGGAACAAACAGACAGACAGACAAAAAATGTAAAAAATGTTATTTTGGCATATGTACCGTGTAAACATACATATGCATTTAGTAAAAAGCGGTTATTTTAATATTACAAACAGACACTCCAATTTTATTTATTTGTATAGATTTTATTAGTTCATTAAAGAGTTTTATAAAGTGTATGATGTAATCTAGAAATGCTGCTAAATCTGTTTTGTTGACCATTTTAAATCGTGATTTGTTGTTACTTGCAAATAAGTAAACCATAAAAATACCTGTCCATGTCATAGCGAGGAGCAGCAATGTGCATCATCTCTACCGCACAACATGCCAAACCAAAAGTCATAGGCCAAATAGAGCCTTTCCTTCCCCAGTTCAGTAAATCATCGAGCCTTGCCACTGCCATCTCAGCCATGTTGGTCGCATCTTGGAAGGGAGAGTAAGGTCGTCTTTCCATAGGGTTTGGAGCAGGTAAATGAGTATGACGCATTTGTTCTACGACGGGTACTATAGCTCCCTTTTTTACAACAGATAAAAGCGTAGAAGGAGCTGTAGCTCCTAAAGTTTTGAGAGCCTGCATCTTTCTGTAAAATACATAAACAGGAGGATAATAATAGGTTATTCCATTATTATACACACATGCAGTATACAGCTTTGTCCCTAATAGTTTGTGACTAAACTGCACTCACAATATTGATGCACAAATATTTCGAGTAAATTCAATGCACGTTATTCCTCTTAAAACTAAAAATTAGAAAATCTAAACTTAAGTTGACAGTTTACGTAATTCGAAGGTGCATTTATATTTTTTAGTCTTCTATCTACAATTTTATATTTACATAAACGTGCTAGCACTGAGTGAATATAATTTTCAAATAAAAAACATTGAAGGTGTTATCATTTTCTTATTTTAATATTGTCTCTTTTTTGAGTAATGTCTACAAAATTAGGTAATACCAGTCAAAATTTAAGTAATATTTTGAAGAATGCTGACTTCGGAAATGTATACCTTAAAGTCAGAAAATGTCAGCACCTTAGAGTAACGAACGTATTTATGTAACCTATAGAAAGCTCAGCGTAGCTCGGCGGTCAGGATCCAGTGTGATTTGTTATCAAGAATCATTTATTAACCTAGTAAAATATGATTTTGACTTTTTTTTTAATAAAAAGTTTAAGCTCTCCATAATTTTTTTCCTTCTTCTTATAAGGCTCAACCCAGGCTTGGCATTTTCTTCCTATAAGAGATTATGAGTTTGTATGATAGAAAATATTATATTATACAATTTGACAGAAAACAACATGACATAATCCGATGGTAAAATAGATTTTAAACATATTAGAGGAACAAATGCGAGTTTATTTCAGATTTACTCGATCGTCACGAAATTTTCACCATTCAAATCAATCAAATCAATTTTTCTGGTTTTGTCGAGCAAGCTATCACTTCGATATTTCCAATGTCATTTCACCTTTATCGAAATTTTCAGTGCTATAAAATCTATCAATGTTTAGACGCTTTGATAGTCAGGGCAGCTTACGTTTCAACCTATTTTAAGAAACGAGGAGAATTAATGTTTATTTAATGCTCATTTATTTTGTATCTGCCTAAATGAGCTTGTACATATATATACATATTTTTGTTGTTGCTATTACATAGTACATTGAGATGATGCGTCGACCTCACCTTCATTGATGTGAATTCTGACCTACTTACATCCCCGTGGAGTTGTCTCACTGTCCTGTTCATCGGTGCTTATGCATTCATTGAATATATATTTATTTAATGTATTCCAATTATGTATATGAAATAAACGTTATTTTAACAGCTCTATCTGCAGTAAGACGTTTCCGTTTTGCATTATGTATGTGAGCTTGAGCGCTAAAAGTGCGTTTTGTGGTTGCCAAAGTAAATATCATTTTGATGTATTATACTTTTCCACAAGACAACTGGTTCTATTTCACCCAGGGAACGCCAAACAAATTGTTTGCTCCAGAAGCATTTCATTCATTTCCAATTTTGCTTTATATTCCGTCCGCTATAACCAGTTTCAGGTAACAAGAAGTTAACAAATAGATATGAGAGTAGAAAAGAGTACATAGTAGTTTATTCATTGATATTAACATTTAGGTACGGCTATTGAAACAGTAAACCAATAAACACCCTAATCAAAACCCTGTGGGAATAAATGAGTTTAAACACGGTTTAAAGCTACTGAAAGATTTACATCCGGTCTTTTGCCCATCTCTAGATGGTCATTTCATAACAGGGCAATTATGAAATGAACGCAACAATACCTACCTAATTGTTGCAGTCACTGATAAAAAATGAATTTTTATCTTAACGACTTAGACATCATCTAACAAAGTTTTACGGCACTTTAAAAAAGCCTAGGTGCCAAGCTTGCGACATGTTTTTGTTGCAGACCTCTTTAGTAACTGCTTGAATGCTCCTGAAAAAGTATCTGAAATAATCTGATAATCAAAGAAGAGTAAAACGAAGAAAAACAGTTTAATGTGTATTCCGTATATCATTTAAGCATAGATCTGACTCTACAACGGACCATTGTCATTGATTTTTTTCTTCTTCTTTCAATGCAATGGCTCCATCGGTTAAGATTTTTTGACTTGTGGTTATGGAGTGTAAAGTGAAAAAGCCCACCACCAAAAAGCAATAAATAATAGTTTTAAAACCATCCTAAATGGCGCTAGTTTAGCCAAATGGAATGACATGAACATAGCAGTTAACAGTGATCGAAGATTGCTGCAAAAAAGTAAACCCGATAGGAACGAAGTTGTGACGATCGAGTAAAACTGATTCGACACGATTTTAATTACAACGCCATCTATGAAAGCAGCTATTACCTACATATTTTTCAGTTGGTTTCTAATTAAAACAATTTATACATTTATAGATGGCGCTGAATGACTGACAAGTGACAATTCAAAATAAAAAGTGTCGTTACAACTATTCGTGAGAATTTTTTCCGTCTAGCCCCCTTTCACAACGCGCGATAAGGAACTTCGTTCCAAAAAAAAAAAACAATTGACTGAATCGAAAACCGTGTAATTGCGAATTCGATTGTCGATTTAGTAGTTCCTCATCTTGCTCATGATTATTCGCAATTCGCATTCGACAAACGTACGTACTAATTTATATCTTTAGAATGAAATGGTATGTATCTATCTTTTCAGCTAAGTGATACTTTTTGCGCGTCACTAGTGTAAACATAAAGTGACGTGCATAACAAACTGACATTGACAAGCCGGCCGATTTATTATGTCAACAATGTTTAACTGGGGGACTGTCAAGTTATCGTGTGTTTGGATAGCACGTGTGCCTTGAAAGTTTACGAATATTAAGTGTTTTTGTGATCATTGGACCAAATCTGTGACTTCTTGTGTATATATATTGTAGTACTAACCGGGATAAGGTATTGTGACGTTTTAATATAATATATATTGTCTTACATGAAGACATTCATTAGCAATGGGTAAAGAAAAACCCCCCGACCCTCCTGATGATAATTCACCTCCAACTCCTACTTTTTCCTCTCCCCCAATCTTTCCTACCGCTCCTCTTACCTCAGTAAACCCATTGACACAGTTTGCAGAAGTGGTTTGCAGTATTCCTGACGCTCAAAACCGGAAACGTCCAGTTGAGGAAGAATCCTCTTCTAGTCGTCCCACTAAACAATCGAAGAGCCAAGTAGCTCGAGACTATTATACAGCAGAAGATAAAACTTCATTCATTGTGCATGTTTCGCGGATAGAACTACAACCCAATTCGGGCACTACTCTCCACCCAGTGTCATTAGGCATACTCTTATACAAAAACAATATAAGTAATATAATTAAAGACGGAATTAAAAGAGTTGGTCGGAATCGAGTGTCTATCGAGTTCTCGTCTGCCCAAGATGCCAATGCCTTTCTAAACAATCCCATCTTACAAAAAAATAAATTTAATGCCTTCATACCATCTTTTAATATCACACGAATGGGTGTCATTAGTGGGGTGCCAGTTGACTTGACTGAGGAAGAGGCAATGGATTATATATCTGTACCCTCAGGCTGTGGCCGCATCCTAAAAATCAGACGAATAAATCGAAAAGTTACAATAGATGAAGTCACCCACTGGAAACCCACTGAAACATGCGTCATAACCTTTGATGGTCAGACACTTCCCAAGAGAGTGTATTGCTGTTACACATCTCTCCCTGTACAGCAGTATATATACCCAACCATCCAATGCCACAAATGCTGTAGGTTTGGTCATGTTGCGGCAGCCTGCAGGTCTAAGCCCCGTTGCCTTAAGTGCGGGCTTGACCACCCAGGTAGCGGTTGTTTTGTTGCTGCGGCAGATGCTTTCTGCATTCTTTGCTCCGGGAGTCATTTCACTAACAGTAAGGACTGTCCGGAGTATGGAAGGCAGCGGGCAATTAAGACATCTATGGTTGAAAAAGCCATATCCTACATAGAAGCAAGTAAACTGATACCTGCTACGTCCCGCAACTATGCTAATGCCGCTAGAAGTCAACCCACCGAATCACATCGCAAAACAATTTTGCTTAAACCTAGATCCCACGCTCCTCTTGCACCATCCTATGACAAAACTGTTCAATATAACATCACTAGCACTCCCTTATCCACACAGCCAAATGGCTGTGGCCTTTCTAACACAAATATCCAACCCATTTCCAATCTAATAACACCACCAATTATTGAATTGTTTATTGAAATTGTAAAATCCTTTATGTCCCCTAATATCCCTAATTCACCGTCCAATGTTGCTGAAAAAATTATTAAACTTTTAATCAATCTTAAAAATGGCTCCACAGCTGAGACTTCTTCAATGGAATGTGAGGAGCGTGTTTCATAAGAAGCATGACCTTACATTCCTCTTAAATAAATATACGCCTGTTGCTTGCTCTATCACAGAGACTTGGCTAAAACCATGTCTTAACTTTAGTGTGCCACACTTTAACACTCTCAGATGCGATAGACAGGATGCTTATGGAGGGTCAGCTCTCCTCATTAATAATAGAGTCTCGCAATCTATCGTTGCCCTGCCCACCACTATTGATGACATAAATATGGTTGCCTGCAAAGTTGAAGGTATTACGCTTATATCTATTTATATTGCTCATCCTCATAGAAATCTCTTACCTACTATAAAAGGCATATTTCAGAATATCAATGGGCCAGTGATTATAATGGGTGACTTCAATAGTCATCATTATAGGTGGGGCTCTGAACGGTGTAATGCGTTTGGGGAAGGCTTGGTGGAGATCATAGATGACCTTAACTATGTCATACTTAATAATGGCTGTCCTACCCGCCGATCTCTGCCTGGTCAACTCAAAAGCTGTGTGGATCTCACATTCTGTTCAGCTGATTTAGCTACTGCTGCTCAATGGTATTGCTCAGACCTGTCACATGGCAGTGACCACTATCCCATAGTTATTTCAATTTCAGGTAAAACTTTCTTAGAAAAAAGCCCTCCCCCTTTATTAAAATTCAACCTAACTAATGCAGACTGGTCTAAGTACACTGATTTATTGGAGGATAGAGTAAACGCTTTTCCAAATTCAGATCTTCAAAGCCCGAGTCTATCTAATCACTGCCATGTACAGAACTGTCTGGAGAATCTCATTAGCGCCATCATCTCATGTGCAGAGCTAACCTTTCCCCTAAAAAATTCGGCTCGGGGTAAAATACCGTCACCGCCGTGGTGGGATCAGGATTGCACTAGAGCTGTCAGGGAGCGGAAGGAGGCAGAGAAGAGATATAACAGAAACATGAACACCCATAACTTACTGTCTTATAAACAAGTTCAGGCTAAGTGCAAAAGGCTGCTACGACAGAAAAAACGAATAGGGTGGGTCGGGTTTTGCACATCCTTATCACCATCTACTCCTCCATCAATAGTATGGAAAAGTATAAATAGGTTTAGATCGGGATGCACTCCCAGAACCTCATCTCCTATGAACCGCGAGACAGCTGAACTGTTTTTTGATAAAATAGCTCCTTCTTACGTACCCTCTATAGAAGAGAGTGAATGTGTGCCACCCAGCTTGGATTTAGAAACATCTGACTTGTCATTCTCCTCTCAGGAACTAGATATGGTGCTTGATCATGTCCAGGACTCAGCTCCTGGGATTGATGGAATACCGTACTCCTTCCTTACCCATTTTGGGAGCAAAGCAAGGGAATATTTCCTTAAAATAATAAACTACTGCTATAAAAGCGGTTCAGTCCCCAATCAGTGGAAAGAACAAATAATCATCCCAATTTTAAAGCCAGGCAAAAATTCAGACGACCCAAATGGATACAGACCAATCGCTCTATCATCATCAGTCCTGCTAAAAATCTTCGAGCACCTGCTTAAAAATCGGTTGGAATGGATTGTGGAGTCTAGAGATTTACTTCCAAGCTCCCAATTCGGGTTTAGTAAAGGACTCAGCACTATGCATAGCGTTGCAATACTCACCACAGATATCCGAATATCCCTATCCCGAAATGACTCGGTAGTCGCGGCATTCCTCGACATAACTTCAGCCTATGACAACGTCCTTCTTCCGATCCTCAGGCAAAAATTGCAAGAGCTGAGAATCTCAGCAAGAATGGTACATAGCATATGTCAAATCACTATGTCACGCTCACTGACTCTCAGGGCCCAAGGGGAAGAGCTCGGGCAGCGAAGGGTATGGAAAGGATTACCGCAAGGCTCCGTTCTAAGCCCTTTGTTGTTCAACTTATATACTGTAGATTTAAGTTCATCCCTTAACAACAATTGCCACATACTACAGTATGCTGATGACCTGGCTCTATATGTGACGAACCAATGCATTACTGACGCTACCACATCCCTATCAATTTCTCTGGAATCTTTAAACCAGTGGTTGCTTGATCATGGACTGAACCTGTCTGCTTCAAAAAGCATAATAGTTGTATTTTCAAGGAAGAGGGTCATTCCCCAGATAGATATAAACATTCAAGGACATAACATCCCTGTGGATACAAAGGCAAAGTTTTTGGGTGTATACTTGGACCATAAAATGACAGGTAATCACCACCTTAACTACTTGGTCAAAAGGTGTGAACGAGTCATCCCTATTTTGAAAGCTCTGGCTGGTGTGTGGTGGGGAGCTCACCCATACACCATGAAGCTGATCTATAACGCCCTTATCCGCAGTGTAATGGATTATGGTGTCTTTTTAATAGGCCCCTGCAAGAAAGGGGCCCTTACGAGCCTTGATAAGGTTCAGGCCAGGTGTCTTCGGATCATTACTGGGTGCATGAAATCTTCTCCTATAAATGCATTACAAGTTGAATGTGCTGAACCCCCTTTAGAATTAAGAAGGCAATATTTGGCAACGCGTTTTATATTCCGTCTAGTATGCAGAAATACCCATCCCCTTATTCAAAAATTAAAGTTTCTAAATTCCCTTATAAACTCTACTCAGTATTGGAGACATAAGGATATACCCTTCATTTTAAAAGCTTTCCACTCCTTTGAAAACATAGAGTGTCCCTTAATCAGTTTCGAGAGGCTCCCCTTGTTTAACTATGAATTAGAGGTATTATATTTTAAACCAAATATTTTATTTAATATTGGCATATCCAAGGGCAATCCTAATTCTGAAGCAGCCTTTAATGCCTTGACAAATATAAAATGGCATGATTTCCAGAGATTCTTCACTGATGCCTCAAAACTGTCACAGGAGGATGTCACTGGTTCTGCTGTTTATTATCAAAATTCTAAAATAATTTTAAAATTCAAATGCCCAAAGGAATCCTCTCTATTCACAGGTGAGTGTGTAGCCATTCTAGAGGCCTGTATATATATACAGACACATAACATTAATAAGGCTGTAATCTTCACTTGACTCTTTGAGCTGTCTCAAGGCCCTAGAACAGAACCCCTACAAAAGCAAATTACACAGCTCCCTTATTTTAGAAATAAAGAAACAACTCTTTAAATGTTTCATGAAACAAACAACAGTCCAGTTAGTGTGGATCCCAAGTCACTCTGGCATCAGGGGCAATGAGTTGGTAGATATGCTGGCCAAAAGTGCCATCTCAGCACCATCTGTAGACCTTAAGCACTACTATAATCAAGGTTATGACTTATTGGCTGTACCCAAAAAGATACTGTTGTCTTCATGGCAATCCCAGTGGAATGAGTCCAGCAAGAAGAAAGGCAAATACTACTATGCAGTACAACCAAACATTACTCCAAAGCCTTGGTTTTACCAACACAAAAAAACTGCAAAAACTGTAATATCTGTAATCTGTCGTCTACGCTTGGGCCATTGTTGCTCCCCAGTGTTTCTACAAAAAATTCGTGTACGAGACTCCTCTCTATGTGAATGTGGCCTTGACGAGGGGACCCTGGAACATATATTTTTTGATTGCCCCCTTAATAACTCACTCCCCAGTCTGTACAGTAAACTAACAAAATTGAACATCCCCCTTCCTATAAACTTTGCTTCCCTTCTGACCCATTCCTCCCGTCCACTACGTGTATGCCTTATGTCGTTCATCAATTCCAATAATATCAGACTCTGACTTGAATCCTGATAATGTTTTGTCAATACTAATGTAGTATCTAGTTATTATTATTATTATCTATTATTATATATCTGTTTAATATATGTATAATTTGTATCCGTAAGTAGCAGTGTGTTGTATTTGTAATATTTGTTTCAGTGTCCTAACTCCATAACAAGATTCGCAAAGAAAACAAAATTTTAACAGGAATACCTGGTGTTCGTTCTCTTATCACATACATTTCAGCGCACGACTGACATTGGCAGAATTGTCGACATATCGGCATCGTTTGCCATAGAGAAAAATAGATAGAATGTTTAACTGAAATAACTCAAATAATCTATGGAAATCTTTTATTTAACTTTTATCTACTGTGTAGTTTGAAGTCAACAACGAATACACGAAATTTTACGGAATACACGATTATCAACGGATCAGACAGTAGATTTTGTTCATGATAAAATAAACCTATTAAAGTTTAAAGGCTCTATTTATATGTCAAGTAAAATGAAAAAGGTACTGATTGATATAAATTAAGAGTTTTGACTTCATATTTATATTATTTTTAACCCTTTTCAAATTTGGTTTGATTCAGGAAAAGTGGTTTAAACCTATGTTTGAATTTGATGACGATGTTCCAAAGCAAAAATCGAGTAAAGGCGAAGAAACCTTCGTTAATACCAATTCTAAAGCTAACCAGGTATCGTAGGCAATTTAAAATAGTAATACGTTTGTATCATTATCATTTATCGGCCTCGAAAATAATTACCTATCAGGGTTTTAAACAAAAATTATGCTGTTATACAGGTTACTAATGTTGATTACCAAACCAGGCTAAAGCCAGTATTTGCGAGGCTTAATTTTAATATACCTTAATTCTGTAATAGGTATTAGACTCTACATCTAAAACATGTAGCATTGTGATTAAAGACCACAAAAATTGGATTAAGAGCTTTGAACCAGTAACTGTGGAAGACTTAGCTGTGAACAGCAAAAAAATACAAGAAGTTGATGAGTGGATAAAATCTGTTTGTAACAAGAACAATGGTGATATGTTACTATTGACTGGACCAGTTGGCTGCGGGAAGACTATTACAATAAAAGTACTTGCTGCCAAACACAAAGTTAGAGTTACTGAATGGATAACTCCCCTTGATATAGATATACCATCAGAGAATGGTATGTTTCATTGGCTTAATATAACTATGGAAAAAGTGGCTTAATCTTACTACTATACTATAAATACTTTATTTTTAGGAGAATATGAATATAAACAGAAGCAGTCATTAAAGTTTTTGGATTTCATCCTGAATGCTGCAAACTTTACATCTCTTTTAGATGACAACAATAGAAAATTAGTGTTAGTTGAAGACTTTCCTAATACATTCATAAGGACACCCTCAGAATTTACAGATGTATTACAGTAAGCATCACATTAACTTTTGGTTTTAATTTAAAAAGACAACTCCCGCATTGGGAATAAATCCTGTGTAAAGAACACCCAGACTCAGAACAACAATTTGTGGATCACACAAACTGTAGTGTAGTAGTAAGCGGTGTGGCGAGCGCTTAAAACACTATGCCATCAGTGCAGTCAAACTTAAATCTATATCATGTTCACCTCTCACTAAAACTCAGATTTAAACAGATTTTTTTTACCAGTTTGATTTAAGGACTCTACTAATTAGGTTTTTTTTTAATGGCAATTGATCTTAGAATAAGTGGAGTACATGTTTAATTATTTAAATCAAGAACCTTCTTACTATAAATATTCTATCTGCATAGCTTACACCTTTGCCTGGCACTGCTTTAATGAGATCTTCATGCAAAGCGTCGGTAGTCTAGTGATTAAAGCATTGGACTTGCGCTCAAGAGGTCATGGGTTCGAAACCTGACCAGTAAACTACCGATGTGAACCTCCTCCTAACATAAGCAATTTAGCTTTGTGGGAGAGGTTAACAGGAATACTAGCTATTTCGGTTGCTGGTAAACCTTTTATAAAAAGACAACTTAAACTTTAACGTTAAACTTTTACAGACAACAAATTTGCTTTTTTATTTAAAATATGTAGGTAGGAAATATGACAAGGCATAAATCACTAGGTGACGTACCATAGTGGTTCCAAGAAATATTTTTTTAAAACAATGATTATTTTTATTAATTCGCCTGCCCCATTTAAGGTTGGATATGCTATTTTCTTGATTTTGTTTTATTTTACTACTACTAGACCTAAAAAAGCAATGTTTTTCAGCAGCTTTAACAAAAAGACAATTTTTCCTCATAGTTTTTGAAGTAGCCATGTTAACAAAGTAAATATATATATATATATATATTTATCGGCTTAAGAATTCCCTCCCCTCCGAGACGAAAGCAATGCTTGTACAGACCCTTATTCACCCCATATTGGATTACGGTGATGTATGCTATTATGACCTGAATGCAGATCTACTCAATAAATATGAGCGCCTTCTAAATAACTGCATTCGATTCGTCTTCAACTTCAAATATGACCATGTTTCCTTCTTTCGTCGCGAATTGAACTGGCTCACTATTCGTCAGCGCCTAAGCTAGACTGGGAGAAAATGCCAGTGGGATTAAGTCCGCCATTGTACAACCCCCACTTGTGCATAAAGTATTAAAATAAAATATATATTTATATATAAAAATTAACCAATTTTAAACTTAGACGCGCTCTCCTGTAAAATTGCTAATTTGCAGATCCTACATTCTTCATCGGGATGGGCGATATGCTAGTCCTTAGTAATAATTGTTGTTAATACTAAAATCTTTCCATTTTATTGCAGTCAATATAAATTTAGAGCAAAATCGCCTATTATTTTTATATGTTCAGAATCACATATGGATGGTAAAAATACTTCTGCTAATCTTTTCACACCAGGTCTGAAGGAGCAATTCAGTATACAACACATTATGTAAGCATCCATTGATTTATTATGCATAGTGTTTTATAAAATAATTTAGGCCACACTAATGAAGTGTGGCAACACTGTAAAAGTATGAATATTAGAAGCGCTCAGTTGGTGCAGTAAGACAGACCATCAGGGCCCCAATTCTGCTATTTTATGATAACACCGTCCGTGTGGTGAAGTATTAAGAATACAGAGTGTCACCACCCCTATTCATCCCGTGGCTGTCGTAAGAGGCGACTAAGGGAGCGAAATACGCAGGACAACAGCACTGCAAAGAGAAGGAAAACTTGACACAAACCCTATACCAACCCGTCTGGCCAGATGGTATAGTGGGCCAAAACCTCCTTTCTAAGGAGAGGCCTATGTCCAGCAGTGGACTGTTAAAGGCTGTTAATGTGATGTTAACACCAAGCCACTGTCATTCCATTGAGATGACATTGACACCGGTCAAAATATCAGTATTCTGCTAACATGATTTCAGTGTCGATAGACTGTCTATATAGTAATATAGGCCTCAAAGGTGAAAACAACAACATTGCCATTCCTGGAAAATTAAATATATCATTTTCTTACAAAATTAAAATGTACCATTTACCAAACAACAGTTTGGTAAATGGTACTATACTGATAACTGATAACTGATATACTGACTAACTGATACAAATATCGTCGATGCCTTTGTAACACAAAGGCATCGACGATATTTGTATCAGTGACAAGTCATTGGGAGGCCAATAGCAGAATTGAGGCCTAGGTGAGTAGTTACTGTGTGCAATCAAATCAAATCAAAATCAATCAAAACTTAATGTTTGTAGGTTCAACAGTGTTGCACCCACAAATTTAAAATCTGCACTAAAACGAGTGGCAGCAATTATAAATCAAAAGCACAAATTAATATATAACACTCCTACAACGGATGTCGTAGATTGTGTTGTCAATTCTTCAGTAGGAGATGTCAGATCAGCAGTGTTGAATTTACATTTTGCATGTCTGAAAGGTGAGTTGAAAGACTTGAAAGCAATAGCTGAAGTCTCGTTTCCAAAATAATTTCCTTTTTTACACATTTTAGGAGGCTCGAAACAGAATATGGATACAAGTATAGTACTAGAAAAAGAAACTAAGGGTAAAGGTAATAAGAAGAAAAAACAGTCTTCTAGTAAATTTATGGCATTGGGAAAAGATCAAACAGTTAGTATTTTACATGGAGTTGGCAGAGTATTAAATCCTAAAGGTATTGTTTTGAATACTACTTGGATTTCATTATTCTTAGGTATTTTACTTTGCACATGTGATAAGTATATATTGGTTACTCAGTTATAGATGCAGAAAATGGAAAAAAAAAATTTACTCACAGTCCAGAAGACATAATTGAACAATTTATAAGCCAACCATCTTCTTTTATTAACTTTCTTGAAGAAAACTACTTACCCCATTTTGCCTGCATTGATCATGTTGAAAACGCAACCTCGGCTTTAAGTGACGCTGACTTCATGTTAGCAGAATGGAGGGTAACTCTCAACTTCAGTTATTAAGTATTAAGTCTATTATTGAGTTGGATTTCATTTAAAATTCATAAACATTTTAGGAGAAATCATGTCAGGAACATGGTTTGTATATTGCAGTGGCAGGCTTAATGCTTGCAAATAAAAGTCCAGTTTCAGCCTGGAATCCAGTAAGAGGTCCTAAAAACATGAGGATACAATATCCGTAAGTATCTACTTTACTAGTTTGTCAGAGTTGTTCAAAGATGAAACATTTTAATATATCAGTATAAATATTTTTAGGTCGGTACGAGAATTACAATTGGAAGAAAACAATTTATATAAGGGGAAAGTTTTAGTTGTTGATTACCAGACATATTGCAAAATTATTGGAAAAGAAAGTGGGACCTAACATAACTTGTAGATTGTTCTATTTATGAAAATAAAATATCATTTGGTTAACAATAATGTTATTATTATAGTAACAAATTACAGGCAGAAATAGAAAACACATGTCATATCCTACTTGGCATTGGAAACAGGATCTTTGGATCTGGGAAGAAATATTAAAATTATATTACTAACATTTTTATTAGAAAAAAGTCAGATAATACAAATACAATTTTATTAATTATCACTTCACACTAATAGTTCAGTAGTTAACAGTTCATCTGCTTTGATCACTCACTCGTTTCCGTTTTGCAAGCTTTTATAACAAGAAACATGTTGTTAATTTTAGATAAATAAATCATGGTGCACATAAAGACACATGTATACTTACCTCCTCATTGTATCGACCTTACAAACTATTCTAACAGTACATACGCACTGGCGAGAACCTTTATAACAGGAAGGTGCCTACTTACCTCAGAGGTATATTTGGAATGTGTTGTATAGGTATGTGACATTCCTTAGTTAGTAGATGTTTTCGCATGCAAAGTGATAAGGGGCTATGTGTCAGTAACTGTGTGTGTGTGTGTGGGGATTTAACGGGAGGAGGAAGAGGAAGACCTGGAGCGACGGCGACGTGGCGCAGCGCGTGGTGAACGCGAGCGGGAGCGGCGCCGTCTTGGCGGAGAGCGCCTCCGCGGCAGGGGGCTACGCCGACGGTACCTGTTTAATACAGAGTGCTCATGTCAAACGAAATTTAGCAATAGAATTTTGTGTTAGGATTACATTATGTGCTAGGTGGTTTTAAACCAAATAAAATTTGAAATACATTTTAGATGTAATGCCAACATAAGCAGTTAACAAAAAATTGCACTCAATAAAATAAACTAACCTCGGTGGTGAGTGTCGTCGTGGTGGGGCGTGCCTTGGCGGCGGAGGACGCGGCGAAGGACGTCGTGGACGAGAAGGTATCAGAACTGGAGCCGCTGTGATTTCTTGCCCATCAATTTGCCCTACAACAGAAGTTGTTCAATCAACTATCACAGGGCTCATTTGGAAACAGTTGGTAGATTTACACAGACAGCTGTTATGCATTATTGTCAATATCTTTTCAACATCAAAAGTAATTCACTTTTTCTTGAAGTTACTGTGTGTATTTAACAATGATCATTATGAATTTTTATGAAATAAAGATATTGAATTTGTGTGTATTTTTGATACACTATCTTAAAGAGATCGGGAGAGTAGGAAAATTGAGAGTTTATTAAAACAGATAAGTGGGTAAGAAAAAGAAAGGCAATTAATTGAGGGTTTTTTAGATATTACTTTTGTAGATGGATTAGGGAGTGTAAGTTTTAGCTTGAGCTGATCATGCTCTGTACTAGTAACACCAACTGGCCACTAAAGCCAATAAGTCTGAAACTTCTAATGAAACAAAATGTAAGTCAAATAGTTTCTGTACCTCCATCCATATGCTTCATAGCATTTTCTGCTTCATCTGCATTGCTGAACTCCACATATGCATAACCACGACCATTATGAGGATGTAGTCTATCCATTGGGAACTCAACAGCTTTAACATTGCCATAAGTTGAGAATATTTCATGAATGTGATCTCTCGACACATTCAATGTCAATCGTCCAATATGAATTCTTGTAGGTCGTGGGGGTGGAGAACGCTCCCGCTTTTTGCGACCAGGTGACCTGTGCAGAATATATTGTTTTAAGTGTAGTGTAGTTCAGTTTGTTACTAGTGGTTAGTTAATGAGTTTGCACTTTCTTCCCATAAGGCTCAACCCCTTGAAAACGGGAGGTTGTAGATCGGCACAGTCATATAATAGATTTTCGATAGGTATAATTTTTATTATATCTATTTTGCTAAGTATTTGACAAAACAGATTGTTGCTATTGTGTGTGTTGACTTCAGAGCAGGGATTCAACTAAACTATTTTGGGCAAGAGACCCCTTTTCCATACCTCAAACCCCATAGCAAAATTACTGCATGCCTTGACTTTTTTTAAAAGTACGACATTGATAACCCCTGGGAAACCGATTTCGACCCCGAGGGGTCGATATCGACCACTTTAGAAATCCCTGCTTTAGAGTCTACATAAAAGACAATTTCAAACAATTTTATGAAATAATGATAGTTTGATTTAAATGTTTTCAAATAAATTGTAGAAGGTGTTTATAGCTACTATTATACACCAGACACTCATTATAATAATATAATCATGGTAAGACTTTACATGCTTGTAGTGATACTGTGTTCCTGAAAATTAGGGTATAGCAGTCTGCATGATTGCTAAAATTCTGCTTATTATTTGCTGTAAGCACTGAGTGAAATTATTGATGAAGCTGCTTGTGGTTATCGTTATATTACAGTTGACCACAACCCCGAGACAAATATATCTTTGTTAACAATTTAAAACTAAACAAACACCTAACTTAAACTTACTTACTTAAACACTTAACTTAGATAAACATAATGCATTAGTATTTAGAATTGAATGTGTAAAAATATGTCTGCACATTCATTTTATTGAATAATAATTCTGAAGATCTGTGAAAATGCTACTGATTGTTTGGTCTTCGGTGAAGGGGAGACTGTGTGAATAATACAGCTTATCAATTTATTGTTTTATAATACAAATAAATAAAATTAAAGTGTCTGATGGTAATAATATATGTTTTTAAGTTCATCCAGTTCTTTGCATAATACGAGGGGAGGTCCAAGAGTTCGTGGAATGTAGGGGATGGGGTGGGGATAAGGGCTCTCGCTTAGTGTCATACTAATTGGAGACTCATCATTAGTATATAAATTAAGTTTCAGCCCTATTGCTTCATTCATTTACCAATATTCGCCTGCTTAACAAGTCTGTCTGGAAGAAAACTGAAACTATGGAGAAAATTGAACACTGTGCTGTGATAAAATTCCTTACTAAGCAAGCTCAGACCATTTTGAATGCAATGCAAACCGTTTATGGGGGATAATGCCCTAGTAAATCAATGATAAATCATTGATCAATAATAAAACTTGTAAACAAGTGTCATGGTCTTTTTAAACATGGTCGAGCGTCGATTGGAGACGACTCCCGCTCAGGAAGACCAGTTGAGGCCACCACATCAGACATCGTCGAAAAAGTAGAAAAAATTCTACTGGAGGACACCTGTTTCAAGAAAAAACAGTTATCTGCATTAGCGAATCCTACATGACCACCTGGGTACGACAAAAGTCAGTGCAAGATGGGTTACGAGAATGCTCACGCCAAAACAATTTTTGGTGTTGTGTGGAGACGAACCTGCACAGATTTTGGAGCGGATTGTTACCGGAGATGAAACATGGGTTCAACACTTTAAAAAAGAGTCCATGCAATGGCAAAAAAGGGTACACTACCTCCAAAGAAATTCAAAGTATCGGAGTCTACTGGAAAGTTGATGGCTACTGTTTTTTGGGATTGTGAGGGGAAATACTCATTGATTATAAAGAAAAGGGAAGGACCATAATCGCTAACACATAATACTACGCACCGATACTAGAGAAATTAAAGGAAGTCATCAGAGAAAAACCTCGAGGAAAATTTACCAAGGGTATGTTGCTCTTGCAAGACAAACACACCCGTTCACAAGTGCAGAGTTGCAATGGCTGCTCTGCATAAGCATGGCTTCGAAACACTGGTCCACCCACTCAGTACAGTCCAGATCTGGCCCCAAGTGATTTTTATTTGTTCCCCAATTTAAAAAAAGACTTAAGGGGAAGGAAATTTTCCGACGACAATAAGGATAAGGAGGCAATTTTGGCTCATTTTGAGGCAAAAGATAAAAAATATTTTTAAGATGGTTTAGAAAAATTAATTCATAGATCTAATATAGTATTCAGCTTAAGGGTGATTATATTGAAGAGGAAAAATAGATTTACTGTTTCATTTTATTTAAAACCCTTTCATTCCATGAACTTTTGGACCTCCCCTCTTATCTCTGTCTGTTTGTTTCAGTTGAATCTTTGAAATTTTACTGGCAGATAGCTCATTATACAGGGTTACTGGTTAAGTCGACCTGGATACTTTAGAGGGTTGTAATGGCCATTATTGCTAATAGATTTCACTATGAAATACCAAAACCCCGAACTTAACCATTTTCAAGATATTGGATGTTTAAGATTTTTATTTTTAGGAAACACTTCAAGCATAATATAGGTCATACTTAACCAAGTATGACCTATATACTTTAGGTATATAAGGGCTAGATCAATAAAAAACTATATAAGGCTGACTTAGGCTAATTTGCTTGAATTAAAATTAGGGTCAAAATCAGATTTTTGTATATCACTAAATTCATACATAGTATGGATAAACATTTTTAGATTAAATTCCACATGGATGAAGTCTCGGGTATCAGCTAGTTTTTAATATTGCTACACAAATCAGATCAGTGACATAGCCAACAGAATAGTCCAAGAAAACATACACAGTGCTGAAGACTGTTACAAGTGGAGAGCAATAATGAGAATGCAAGGGGGGGAAGATTAATAGTTATCTTACATACCTGTCATGTTTCTCCTTACTCTTTGCTTTATCATTTGATGATGGTACTGATAACTTTTTCTTATCACCAAGGGGTGATCTATCTCTATTTTTGTCCCTCTCTGGTTCACGGCGGTCCTTAATAGGGCTTTTGTTTGGGGAGATCCTATAAAAAAAAATACATTCACACACATCAAAATCCTATATGTCAACTGTTAACATGCCTGTTTATAAACTGAGCTAGTATTCAAAACTCTCTCTTACTAAACTAATCTCTTAGAAAAGGATAACCTATTGAGTGAATTTTGATTTTCTTATGGCACAATAATTAAATAAGCCCATTTTAAGATTCAAGTGTGGTCAACAGGTTTACACTTACTTCTTTTTTGGTCTAGAACGATCATTATTGCTGCTGCTGCTGCTGGATGAGCTAGATGACGATGATGACCGTGATGAGCTGCCGGAACTGCTGGATGATGACCGCGATGAAGACCTTGATGAACTGCTCTCTGATGAACTATAGGCACATTTGATGGGGACCATTGATTAAACCTGGCTAGGCCAGTATTAGACATAATTTTCTATAATCCTATATAAGCACTGTTTTTGTATTTGTGATTATTTAGTTTATTTTGAACTAAAAATGTTAATTTTTAGACATAACCTAAGGAACTATATAGCCCTTTGATATTTTTTACAGAAGGTCTTATAATTATACAATGTATATACCTGCCACTACTGTCACTGCTGCTGGACCCGGAATCACCTTTCTTCTTCTTGACTTCTTTCGGTTTCTTCTTATCTTTATCAGACGCTGCTGAAGGGGATTTCGTCCGAGCCCTGATACCAGAAAAATATGTATTTTTATTATTCAGTAATTGACGAAATTAATTTTTTGAACCTACACGAATACGCACATTTTCGAACAAACTATTCACAGGCACAAAACCAACGAGCGTCACAAAACTCAAAAATACAATCACAACCTATACGAATAACACAACGCTCTGGGAAGGAAAGACGAGTTGTGTTGCCAGACGAAAGAATGACTATGAGAAGCAGTTGAAAATAAGTGTTAAAAATTCATAAATTAGGGTAAAAACTACTAATACGAGTATAAACTGTTATACATATTTTTGGGGCTAATACTCTACGCTATGAAAAATTGTAAGATTTCTAGAACTAATAAGAGAAATTGAAAGACTTCGTCATGTTCAGATAAAGAGCGTAGGTAACGTTCTTGATTTATCTAATGAATAAACAATATTATATGGTAAATTTATTATTGCAATCATCCAATAAAAATATCCACCAACATAAAATAACTACTGTTTTTATCTGTTATTTGAGCGATAATGGATTTTGTTGGCAATAAAAAAACTAACTCTAAAAAACGATCTATGTGGGGCTCGAACATACAAAGCTCAACGTAGTAGGAAGCGCCGTGGAGACCCCTTAAACCACTACGCTATCGTGCAGTCACATTTTACATATTATCATACAGATTTATCAATTGTTTTATTAAATTGCCTGGCCTGTTGGCTCAGTGGTTAGCGCTCTTGACTATTAAACTAGGAGTCGTGGGTTCGATTTCCATGTAATACTAATTTTCAGTGTTAAATTTCAGTGGCGGATTAACCCTAAGGCAAAGTAGGCACGTGCTTAGGGGGTAGATTAAATTACAATATAATTAGTAATTAACAAAGAATTTAAAAACGATTTTAAAAACGCGCGCTGAATTTTTTAACAAAGAAAAAATATATCCATAACAGAACTGTGTCGGTAAGTATAGGTACCTATACAAACTTACACAATATAAACAATTCTTTAATTTATAGAGATGTTTAAGGTCGATATCTAGGGTTAAAACTACGTTATTGAAACTACATCTTTGCTTGAGGCTAGTGCGTGTACTGAGCAACCTTAGTAATAGATCAGGGTTGCTCAGTCAATGGCACCGGTGTGGGCGGAAACTCTGACCGCCTGGAATAAGGAGCGCCTCTTGCACCCTCAGAGGATGGTGGCGGAACTCTCTTGTGGGATTTAGATGCGGAAATGAGTGGCGTAAGGCCGCTTGTCGAGCCACGATGATTCGTCGGTCTTACCGGCTGGAAACTCCACTGGCTTTGGCTTTGGTGCCGGTCATCGTCGAGTGGACAAGGTGGTAGCACGGGTGTTGGTCGGAATGGTGAAGAGGATCATAAGCCCGGAATGCTACGGAAGAACGCGCATACGTAAACTCTGCGGGCGGGGCGTGTAAAATTTAGAGCTGTGCTAACCCACGCTCCGTCGGAGCCGAGCTTTGAAGCAACAACTGTGTCACCTACCGATTGACTTAGATACCGGGCACGGTTGTCTCGGTAAGTATATTAATAAAATCAGAGGTCACGGCACAATACCACCAATGCGGGTCCAGCCAGAACTCCACCAGAACCTGGACCGTGCGGAGCGAGAGTGCGTGGAACTCTGCCGTCTCCTTCGGCGAGCAAGTTATGCTAGCGAAGGAGACGGCGAAGCGGGACCGGGAGAGGTTTAGAACTCTCCCGGCCCGCCAGGTCCGGGAACGGGCCAGGTACCGCAGGCGACTCAGGCGCCGGAGGTCGCAGAACGACCTCCGTCCTCCATAAGCGCAGGCCTAGGGGTGGCGGCGAGCGCGTTGCGAAGCGCGCTCGCTTCCAGGGAGCAGAGGGAACATGGGGTTCCCACACGGGGGGGGGGGGGGGGGGGGTCTTTACTAGTCTGTAGATGGTCCGAGGTATGTCGGGTCACCAGGGACTTCCTTTGTAGGGTATACCTGGTTCCCCGGCTATTAGTACCCGAAACGGCGTGCAGTTTTAGTAGGTTCGAGTCCGACATGCCACCGATAGGTGGTATCCGAGGGGATTTTGCTTAGTTTGAAACTAGATGGCGTTGTTTGTTGACGATTATTATTATTACTAAAAGTTTTATTATTCTTGGTTTTTTTTTTATCTTATTTTTGATACAAAACTATTAAATGTTTTAATCCCTGCCCGACCAGTCTTTAGTTAGGCCTTTCAGGACTTTGTCCACTAACCACGTGTTAAGTTTTTCACCCCTACTTGCATCTTTTGATTTAAGCTTTTGTTTGGCCTGTCGCGCGCACCCTTTTGTAACCTCACGTCCCTAGGCATGTGTTTACTTTGTCTTAGGGATAATTTGCCACTGCAAAAGGGATCATGTCAAAGTTAACAGGCAACTGTATAGGGCTGCGAGAAATCGGTGTAACCAATTGAAACGGAACGCCAAACGCCGCCATATTCTATATAATATTTTCCCTTCCTCTCCTGCCGACATCTAGGGGTTCAACAATCGATACGTTTAGATTCTCTAAATAGTCAATAGTCTACCGCGCCCTAACATAAGCCATTTTCACTTTAATCCGGTCGCAGAAGGAGAGATTAAGAAGATTATACTGTCCACCTTCTTCCCGTTATCTCCTATTTGTGAACTTTTGCCTCACGTATGGCACATTTCCTTCTCTGTAGTGGAGAGCGTATGTGCGCCCGTTGCCTAAAACTCCTAATCCGTCTCTTGCCACTCAGTTTCGTCCAAAATCTATCCTACCCTTCCTCTCCAAAGTGCTAAAAGTCTGCGTCCATGAACAGTTCTCAAAATTCATTTACAGTAACAACTTATTTAGTCCTTTTCAATCAGGGTTTCGCCCTGGGCATAGCACGGTTTCCGCTCTTCTTAAAGTGACTGGTGAAATTAAGGTCGGGATGGAGAATATTAAGCTTACTGCCGTTGTACTGAGTACTCCTTACTGTTGTACTCCTTACTCTCCTATTCCATTTCTTGGTCTCTCTAGAAGCACTGGACTAGTTTTCCTCTTACCTTTGGGATCGTCAGCAGTCAGTCAGTACTGAGGATTCTTTCTCTGGATGGTGTGGTCTCGCTGCTTGCGTCCCTCAAGGCGGCATCCTTTCGCCTCTTCTATTTTTGATCTTCATTAACCTTATCGCCCTTAGTCTTCAGTTTTCCTATCATCTCTACGGTAATGACTTGCACTTATACTACCAAACAGAGTTGTACAATATAGTTGCACAGAGTTGTAAGCAGTGTCAGGTCAATGCCAGGCAATTATCATCGGGTGTAACCGTATGAGTCAGCTCGACCTTGCTGCACTTCGAGTATGGTTATTCCATACTCTGAAAGCACGAAACACCTCGGGCTGTATATTAACACAAGTCTTAGCTGGCGAAAATCAGTTGCATTTGTATACTAGAAAGTCACAGGCTCGTTGCGGGCCCCTCTTTGGGCTTAAGAACTTTTATGACAGTGAAAACTGCTTGCTGCTTGTTCCGACTCTAATATTACCTATAATCGACTAGGGTGACGTGTGCTACTTGACCTAAATGACCTACTCAATAAGTTTGACCGCCTTCTCAATAATTGCATTCGATTCAATCGAATGCAATTATTGAGAAGGCCAAATCCAATTATCGAAAACAATAAAATTGAGAACGAATCGAACCAATTCGTTTTTACCAATCTGTAACCAAATACTGGATCATAGTATGGGGTGGTGCTGCTAAAACTTTGCTACTTCCACTAGAGCGAACAGAAAGGCCTATCCTTAAGGAAATAACCAGGAAAAATTTTAGATACCCGACCAATCAGACTGTCAAGTACTCAGAGTTCGCCAGATATTTGTGCTTGAGTATAGCACTAAGGAAACACAAATCAGTTTCTTCACCGTACGATACGATATCTGTCATAACATCTTTCACAACACGACATTCACAAGAAGGCAGTACTAAGTAACAAGTACAGTATTGTACAACAAAATTAACAAACACTTTAATAAAACATATCTAAACAAACACTAAGATGATGGTAAAAAGATATTTATTAAAATTAGACTATAATGATACTGAGAAGTTGATGTCATAAAACAAGAAAAAAGAATATCGCACACACACACGTACACACTCACTCTTTCACATACACACTCATGCACCAATAAAAGGCATAATTGCACGAAATTTGTCCTAATTTATGGGCTAAACGTCCTAAATTATTATTATTCTCTTTATTTACTTTATATACATATGATTTACATTTTTAAACAAACACTTTATAAAAAAATATAAGAAATACATTTAAAAATATAAAAAATAGTAGACCACCGACATCGGGTACAGGGACCAAGACACCGGTAGTTAGGATTCCAAAGATAGGAAAATCCTCAGTATACGAGGAGGACTGCCTTCTGCATCAGACCCTTGATCCAGCCGTCCAATGTGAGCCTCTTAAGGTGTTGGTCGAGGCTCTTGGCTCTTGGCAGATACGACTATAGGAACAATTATCACTGAATCAACATTCCACATATCGACAATCTCGTGCGATAAATCCAAATATTTGATTTGTTTTCTTTTTCAACTTTCACGAGGTTCTCGTCATGATGAACGGCGATGTCAACAATCATTGCGCGGCGCTCTAATCGATCTATCACCACAATATCTGGCTTATTGGCAACTATAGTCCTTTTTTTTTTATCAACCCAATACAACGTGGCCAAAACCTCCTTTCTAAGGAGAGGCCTATGTCCAGCAGTGGACTAGTATAGGCTGTTGATGATGATGATGAATACAACGTGGCCCGACCATTCTCGAGAACTGGGTCGGGCACATACTTGCAGTATGGCACCTCTAGATTCACAAGATGGTATTTAAGGGCAAGCTGTTGGTGTACCATCCTGGCTACTTGGTTGTGCCTGTGCAAATATTCGCCGTTAGCAAGATGAGAACAACCAGAAATAATATGCCTGATTGATCGCCAGGACGGTGGCATGCCCGACAGATGTCAACCGTACCATCTTTCAGGATATATTTCCGATAGTTATTCGTCTTGATAACTTCGTCCATAATCGCACAAACAAAACCTTTAGTTTCTCCGAAGAGATCACCATACCGTAGCCAAGTCGTAGATGCTTTTAAATCTATATCGGACCCGTTTAGGGCCCGATAAAACAGACCATGGAGCTCTTTGCCTTTCCATACTTCCCTGCGATTATTAACACTAAGTACTACAGGTCTGCGCCAATTCTCTTTAGCCACATTGCGATGCACTCCTACATCAGTATGTAGAAAATATTCTCTGAGATTGCATATCTCGCGATTATGTAGGGTCTTGATATTTAATAGTCCGCGACCCCCAAGCTTTCGCGGGATATCCAATCTCATATACAGGAATACATCAGAACCGGCATGACCCAACCATTGCAGGCTCGCACCTTGTTGCCCCCTGATAATAGACTTTTAAGTACTTTTTTCAAGCGGCCAAAAAAGCGTTCCTGCAATGTTTGTTTCATATTAGATTTTGATATTCCCTACGACTGTGATATACCCAGATACTTGTAAGTTTCAGGGCAGACAGAGATCTGAGTTTTGTTGAATCTGACAGCTCTATTCCTTCAGATTCAACTATCACACCCTTCTTTACATACATGACTGCACACTTGTCTAAACCAAATTCCATTTTGATAGAATTACTAAAGTTTACCGTCACCTTTAGTAACTTTGTCAATTGTAATTTGTTGGGGGCTAACGGTTTCAAATCATCCATATAAAGAAGGTGAGATATAACTTGATCATCTTTCTGCAACCTATAGCCTAACCCTGAACCCTCTAATAAAGTGCTAAGATGGTTCAAAGCTAGACAAAACCACAAGGGACTCAGACTATCACCTTGAAATATACCCCGCTCGATCTTTATTAGTACATCGTCTGCCGACGTCCTGGATAGCGAAGTGCAGTTCTCCATTGCCCCATACATGACTTCAAGAAAGTGTACAAAGTTGTATCAATTTTATAAAACTCCAGCACCTTAAAAAGCCATGTGTGTGGAACCGAGTCATAAGCCTTCTTTTAGTCTATCCAAGACGTCGCCAAACTCTTACGATTACTATTATTATTATTATTATCCCTGTCGCACTCACCCCTCTGACTTCGTACATTCTACTTTTCTGGCACAAGCTATCCTGTTATGGAACGCGCTCCCTCTCGAGATCGTATGACAAAAACTCGGCAAAGTTTTAAATACGGAAACATTTCTCAAATACCTTAATTATTATTATGTATTGTATATCTGTTCATTATATATTCTATATTTTTTAATTTCTGTGCATGTTTAAGCATTGCATCACCCTAAGGTCGACTGGAAACTGCCTACGGTATTAAGTCCGGTTTTGTCACATTTGTGCATAAAGAATAAATAAATAAATAAACAAAAAATAAATGTCTCTGTGCAGATGACGCTGAATAAATGTGTACAAGAATGAAGTGGTTGTTAAAAAGTTACTTGGAATACGAATACTATGATCTATTTAGAATTGCCTGTAAAATGAACATCGATCCATGATGTCTAGAGAAAAATGAAAAGGTCTTATTTCTCTTTTATGGCTAACATACCTCTCTGCTAACGTTTTAAGAACTTTTACTACATTGTCCACCTTGACTTAATTGGCTTCGTTTTCATAAAAGTTCTAATACCTAGGTCACTATATAAGTTTTGAGATTTGAAAATGGAACGCATTTGTGTCATATACTGCCGTCATTTCACGCTTTTTCATCTGCTACAAAGTGGCTTAAACGTGAACATTTGCGTGCTATGATATATTACGATTTTAAATGTGGTTTATCTGAAGGTTTAAGCTTAGAACGTTGAAAATCGCCTTTAGATGAGTCTGCTCCTTCTCGGGCAACTGCTGAAAATGTGTGGACTACTGAAATGCTTGTGTAACAATGGGAGGCCAAGACATCCAGAAAAAAATGGTGGCGGGCATCTTGCAACATCAGTGCTTAAATTTTTTAAGTCTGTTAACTTAGAATGGTACAATGGTACAGTCGCATTACCAAAAGTTTACTGTGCAGGAGAGACGACTAAAGACCGGGCTCCGGGGAATGATGCTGCACCACAACAATCACACTCTTCTCACAGAACAAAGGCGTTTATTTAAGAATCGGGTATTGAAACCCTACCTCACCTACCTTACAGCCCCGACTTAGCTTGTTGTCATTTCTTTTTATTCCCTACCATAAAAGAGATGGATAAAAGGCACAGG